TGAAATCAATTAAGGACAATATTGAAACACAGTGTAATTTTTGTATTTTGATTATTCCCCATTTCAATTAACTAGTACATTAATCAAATTTTTACATTGATTACGTAATGAAAGATAGAGAACAATGGTAGTTAGACAATAAAGATGATTATTCTGCTTTTCTTTTTTGCAAATGAACTGAATATAGAAAACGATTGTATTAAAATTTCTTATGAAATTACAAATGATAACATATTCCTAATATTATATGCAAAGATGGATAGTGGCTAGAAGTCGAATGCAGTTTGACACTCATTTCGTCCTATTTGGGACTTGTTAGCTGGATATACTTGCATCTCAGAGTTGATGTTCACTTTGGGACTCGAACTTAGTACCTTTTGCTTCAAATGCCATCATGTTATCCACTCGGCTACTAAATCCTAATAGTCACTTGCTTGTGCAATGAGGTGAAGTTTAAATTCACTTAGTATTGTTTGTTTGAGACTGATCAATTGCAGTCCCAAAAATCAATTGGAAGATCCAAACAAAAAAATACCAAATGAATATTCTTATTATATTTATACGGTTCAACTAAATAGAAAGAAGATTCGGATACTGCAATGAGAAGACGAAGGTTATCAAAATGATGTAATATATTTGCATAATACATTTCGAACAATCTGATCACACATAATCTACTTGTGAATACATTTTTATGTGGATACTACAATGTCAACAAGACAGGTTAAAGGTAAGCCGTAACAAAGAAAGTCAATAAAGTACACATAAAATTAATATGATAACCACTCTGCATAATAAATCAGTATTACTAAGATAGGTTAAGGGTAAGAATAAATCATTTCAGTTTCCAAATAGTCAAGGCTTCAATAAACCTTAGTATACTCCCTTTAAAAGACTTTGTACAACACTACAAATGCTGACTTGATATCAATCTTATGATCAGTCCCAACCAAATGTTTCGTAATGACGGAAGATATCTGTCTATTCTGTGATCTTATTTGATCATTGGAATTTATTTGTTTCTACAGCCATTTGCATGTGTGTTTCCCCTCCCTTACTTTCAGATCACGACTGCTCCTCCCTATGTACGTGTTTCCACACATACATGTAAATCGATAGTCAATGAAAAAATTTATATTTAATAATTTAATCTATATTATTGATTGATTTACAGTTCTTTGAAAAGTATTCACTGAATATTACCTGTAAATAAGCTCATTTACAATTATTGATCCCAACGGTACAATCGCAGTTCTTTGTTTACCATTATCACAGAAGCGTTATCTTCTCCTGACAAAACCGCTAGATTTAGACACGAAATGGTTACATGTAGTTGACGAAAATAGTTAATAGCAATTTGGATCAAATTGTCATAAACTACAAAACGCTTAATGGAAGTTGTATTCATGAGTCGATTGAAGCTAAACCACCATGGAAAACTGGGAAGCACTGGACGACCATTTCGTCTTGCTATGGGACTCGTCAAAAGTGCGCATACACTATCATGAACTACACATTCAAACTCAGGACCTTCGGTTTCGCACCTTAACGCTTAACCTCTAGACCACTGAGCTGGCCGGTATTCAATGGTGTTAATGTCTAACTTCAATCAATCCACAATAGTGTGCCACCGTCCACCATTGTCTTTCGTGAGTAACTGCCTCACAACAGACATGGTTGAACTCCACTGTTTACGCCATCTCACTAGAACTCACTAGAACACTTGTTGAAAATTTACTGGATACTTAAGGAATATATCTGAATAATTCAGTTTTTTTCTTCGATTCTCAATAATTTCAGTTGAAATTCGATTCACTTATCAATGCCACTCCACGTTGTTTAAACTATCTCTACCTTTTCATATGACTTGGTGTTCATTGCATATAACTATTTGGAATCTAATCAACTAATTTGGTTCAAAATATAAATTTTGGGAAATTTTAAAGAATGAATGGTTATCAAAGATCAATAAAGCTATTCTGTAAGATAAAACTTTTATATTTGAAATCATAAGTCATTTGAAGCTAGATAACCATGGAAAACCTGGAAGAACTGGTAGGCCATTTTGTCCTAGTAAGGGACTCGTCAGAAGTGCGCATCCACGATCCCGCCTCGAGAGATTTTAACACAGGAACTATCAGTTTCGCGTGCTAGCACTTAACCTCTAGACAACTGAACCGACTGGTATCTAACAGTGTTAATGTCTAACTTCAACCTTTGCTAAAGATTTTCAAAATGACTTTAATAAATATGGTTTTTTATGGGTTGGATGAATTGTGGTTAACATTGGATTCAAGGATGTTCAATTTTGTTATATTAAGAATTGGTCAGCTAGATGTACTGCTACAACCTAGTATTGTTTACACAAAGACTTGAACGAAGAATTTCTCGTTCTGATATTAATTCTGGTGATAATTAAAAACTGCAATATTTCACCATTACAAAACAATACAAATGTAGTTTAGCACATTACAATAGAGTAGGATAAAAAAATAATAGTCTCGTTTTATAGTATATTGTAAGGATAGCTCTTAAAAACAGGTTCTGAGCCTTACAAGATCTACTTGAAGAAGTGAGAACTAGTAGAGAAAACGACTGGAAAGGGATCAAAGAAGTGTTAACGTTCTATTGAGGAAGATTTTGGAGAAAGAAGAAATGCTGGAAGACTGAGAAGAAGCATACCTTATCAAGATGCCAAAAAAGGAGATTTTGGCAAGTGTGAGGTCTACAGATACATCAAACTACCATAAGTATTAGGATAACCCTTCAACAGAGTATTGCTGAACTACATAAAAACTTCAGCAGACTCTCAACTTCGAGACCAACAGTCTGGATTCTGTAAGGATCGGTCATGAACAGACCGAATCACGACATTATGGATCGTCGTTGAACAATCAAATGAATAAAACTCGTCATTATACATCAGTTTCCTTGAATATAAGATAGCATTTGACAACGCGGTTGAGAAAATATTATAAAATCTTCTTCGACACTACGGTGTGTGTATCTGAGAAGATCGTTAACATCATATGGGATTCGTACGACGGACTACAGTGTCAAGTCGTGCATGGAATACAGCTGACAGATTCATTCCAAGTGAGGACTGGAGTCAGACAAAACTGCCTACTCCTTCCTTTCACTTTCTTTCGATGGTTGACTGGATTATGAAGACCTCGATATCGATTAAAATGGACAGCTTAGATGCAACTAGACGATTTGGACTTCGCAGATAAGATGGCCCTTCTATCCCATACACACCAGTAAATGCAACTCTAAACATCGAGTGTAGCAAAAGCTTCTGAGTCAATAGACCTGAACATACACGAAGGAAAAAGCAAGATATTCAAATACAGCTGAAAGAGCATCAACGTAATCACAAATGATGAAGAAGCTCTGCAAGAAGTAGATACTTTCACATACCTCAGTGGTATCATTGATGAATAAAGAGGATCTGATGCTAACGTAAGCGAAACGATTACCAAAGTAAGGACAGCATTCCTACAGTTGATGAACATATGCAACTCAAAATAACTGTCAACCAGCATCATGGTCAGAATGTTCATTTCAAAAGCCAAGATAGTTCAATTGTACGGAGTTGAGATGTCGATAACTAGTACAATCATCATCAGAAGTGTATAAGTATTTATGAACGATTGTTTACCCAAGATATTTAATATCCGTTGACCGCATACCATTAGCAACAACGAACTTTGATAGAGAACAAACCAACTTCGATTGATGAGGAAGTTGTGAAACAGTCCTGTAGGTGTATGCATCATACACAGCAGAAATCATCAAACCATATCACAAAACAAGTCCCGAGTTGGAATCATGAAAGGAAGAGGAATAGAAGGCACACATCAAGAGAATCAATAGTCATTGGGAACAACTGGAAAGAATTGCCCAGGAGTGGGTGATGGAAATTTCTGGTGGGTGGTCTATGCTCCTCCAACAGCGGTAACAGTTGTCTACGAAAATACTCAACATTCACTTGCCAGATACTATCAGCAACAGCCTTCTGTGGGAGAGGACAAACCAGCTTCCAGATGAAGAGGAAATTAGAAAAAGTCGATGGAAGTGGATCGAACATACATTCAGGAAATCAACAAACTGCATCACGAGACAAACCCTAACTTGGAATGCTGAAGGGAAGCGGAAATGAAGACCAAAGAACACATTACGTCGGGAAATAGAAGCAGATATGAAAAGGATGAAAGTTAACTGGAGAGAACTAGAAAGGATTTCCGTGGTCAGAGTTGGATGGAAAATGGAGGTGTGCAGCCTATGCTCCTCCATGAGAGATAACAGGCGTCAGTACATAAATATTTTGTGGCTCGCCCAAGGACGTTTCTATCATTATATAAATAAGCTTGATTTGTAGGCTTAGCGACCTCGTATTTTCTAGGTGCATGTAGAATACATTCTCTACACCTCATCAAGACTTCTTGATCTATTTATCAGGGCCAAGAACAACAGATTATAATAACTTATCGTGTCAATGTGTCTTTGACCTTCGTTCAGTTTACCGAGTAAGGTGAAATCGTACTAGCATTAAGTATATCATGTTTTCAATATATGTATGTACATATAAACTGAGTAAAAGAAAGTTTGGAACATTTATGTTTACTAATGCGATTGTCTGAATTTCATTACTTACTCTACATTCATTCATTCATTCATTCAACTAATAGTTTAACTGGTTACATAAATATCTATCATACCTTTTTTCATATTCAGCATTCTGGTTATTATTTACTAAGATGTCAGCTATTCGTCTATTGACTACCTTTTACAATATACACATAAATGTATAGTTAACATCCTAATGAATGAATCAATTAAAAAGTGCCCATAGACATAAAATGATTGGATAAACAGTGGATAAATGTGCTTGTATAAGGATAGACAGGCCAATATATAGATAGGAGTGTTATAGTCTGATGTAAAACCCCATATTTTTAATGTGTAAATTCATGTCCTCTTCCTTGAGACAATCATATATTTGCTTATAGAAGCAAGTACCAATCACCATGGCATTAAATAATATGGAATAAGAGATTTGTGTGTGTGTGTGTGTTTGTGTTTTACTATATGTGCTATAGTGTTTTTTGTAGGGATAGAAATCTGAAGCGACTAACCAAGTAACTGTGCTAGTACACTAAAAAAAAAACAAGCAGCACTATTTCAAATTTACCATATTAGTCATTTCTATGTAAAAATGTCTCGTATAACAGACTATTTTTCGATTTCATCTTATCAAATGGTAGTCCATGAAGAATATTGATTCGATTTTTGAAAGAATCCCGAAGCAAAATCCCTATTTGCTCTTTCATTCTCTAATACTTGTTCCCTTAATTATTCTGTGTTATACGAGCCAAAGTTCCTATTTCATTCCCCCTTTTTTGTTGCTTTTACTGAGGAGTTATTCAGCATTTAAAAAAAGGTAAATATTTCAAGTCAAGTATATTCGAAAATAAAAAAAACCCGCACTATTTAGTTAGTTAAGTAAATCTATTTAGATAAACAAATAAATAAATACTGAATCACATTGACAAGAGAAAAAACACACAGCAGCAACAACAGTACATCAACCTTTGATTTCATTTACGGGGAAAAAAAGCATGGCAACTATTCGATACTATTATAAACCAAAGAATCATTTATTCATTAAGGTCAAACCATAAAGCAAACAATGATTTTCTTCTATATGTTTAAGTATGTGTTCACTTTCGGCATGATCTTTTTCAATCCATTGATGTATGTTGGAATTATATAAACATTTAAAATATTTTCATAACGATTACTACTACGACGACAACGACAGCTGATAACTGCATAGACCATGTCATCTGAAAGTGGATTATATCGACGTTCATCACTGCCTTCACAAATACAACAACAACCCCAGTCTCAATCAATGTCATCATTTAGTACTGATACTTCAGGATTATTTACATCCACTAATATTAATAATAAAACTAAGAAAGAATGTTTTAATTTTGAACCACAACAATGGCGTAAATCTGTTTGTAAAAATTGTTTTCGTACACAACCTGAACATTATAAGTCCAGCAGTAATAATTCAAATGATGAAATGAATTCAACTTTAAAATCTCAATTATCATTTGATAGTAATGTGAATAATAATGGAGTTGGTTGTACTGTTGAGCCCGATAATACTACTACTACTACTAGTAGTAGTAGTACTACTACTACCACTAATACTACTACTACACCCGTTAATAATAGTATTAACAGTAGTTGTGATACAAAGTCACGTGATTCATCAATTAGTAAAAATAACAATGGATTATTTGGTAGTAATGCAGCAGCTAGAGCTGCTGCACGAAAAATTGCAGTTGGACAAAGGTTTGTATATTTTGATTTTAAAAAAATATCATTGTATTGTTATGGAATGTTTACTATATATATAGGTAGTTAAACTGTACATTCATGGGATTGTGCACAGTTAACTTTCTACACATATATCTAACTTTATATCGGTCTAGTATTTTGGAGATAGTCATCTCTTAGTCAAGAAGTGGGTGTACTACACTGTAGTTTACGTTTTATCGATCGATCAATAAAAGTAGGATATATATGACATTATATATAATTGAGATCATGAGTCAATTGAAGCTAGACCACCATGGAAAACCCGGAAGTACTGGGTTTCATCCTATTGTGGGATGCGGGCTGCTGAAGAGTCCCACATAAGGACGAAACAGCCGTCCAATGCTTCCAAGTTTTCCATGGTAGTGTAGCTTCAGTTAACTCATGAATTCAACTATAAAATTACTTAAATCTCCAGAAAACCCCTTCTGGTAAAAGTTTTTATTTTAAATACTGCTTTTTTAAAAAAAATGTTCCAGTATTCTAGAACGAATACACTGAATAAACGTTGTCTTATTAATTGACTAGTTAACCGATATGAGAAGACTTTTAAGAAGATAGAATCTTTTAGTTTGTTAATATAAGCAGTGGACTATACCTCAAATACTTAGTTGAATAATCTGGGCGGTTGAAGTTATCTGCGACGTTTTCAATTTTCAATATAGATGTCCAATAGTTCTGAACATTTTTTCGTTCATTTAGTGGGAGTGTGCTGAGTATTAGAGAGCTGATTTCAAGCCTTAAGTTTTACCACATGTGTTTTTTTTCTCGATGTATTGGGCTGAGGTACACTAACAAGTTTATACCAGGTAGTTATGAAATAAAAGTCTTTAATGGAAATTACACTTTAATATACAGTACTCATAATCTAACTGAACATAAAAATGAATAGAAGTATTAAAAACAACATAAGTATTGAACATTCAGAAGGTTATGGATAATCTTAATCTATTATGATGGTTGCTGTCATCTGAAAATAGATTTCTTAATGGACTAATATCATTTGTGAATCTATGAAAACTCCAGAAAAAATGAACAAGTAGATCTTAAGCTATGTTCCTGATGAGATATTTATCACGAACATTTTACTAACTTACGCCTGTTACCCCTCGTGGAGGAGCATAGGCTGCACACCTCCATTTTCCATCCAACTCTGACCACGGAAATCCTTTCTAGTTCTCTCCAGTTAACTTTCATCCTTTTCATATCTGCTTCTATTTCCCGACGTAATGTGTTCTTTGGTCTTCATTTCCGCTTCCCTTCAGCATTCCAAGTTAGGGTTTGTCTCGTGATGCAGTTTGTTGATTTCCTGAATGTATGTTCGATCCACTTCCATCGACTTTTTCTAATTTCCTCTTCATCTGGAAGCTGGTTTGTCCTCTCCCACAGAAGGCTGTTGCTGATAGTATCTGGCAAGTGAATGTTGATTATTTTGCTTAAACAACTGTTTATAAATACTTGGATTTAGTAGTTCTCCACGTTTCAGCTCCGAACACTAGGACTGTCTTGACGTTCGTATTAAAGATTCTCACTTCGATATTGGTTGAGAGTTGTTTTAGTTCCATATGTTGTTCGATTGTAGAAATGCGGTCATTGCTTTGCCAATCCTCGCCTTTACATTTGCATCAGATCCTCCTTGTTTATCAACGATGCTTCCCAGGTACGTGAATGTTTCTACATCTTCCAGAGTTTCGCCATCAAGTGTGATTGGGTTGGTGTTCTCCATGTTGTATTTGAGAATCTTGCTTTTCCCTTTGTGTATGTTGAGGCCTATTGGTGCAGAGGCTGCTGCTACATTAGTTGTCTTCGTCTGTATTTGTTCGTGTGTATGAGATAGGAGTGCCAGGTCATCTGCGAAGTCCAAATCGTCTAACTGATTCTCAGATGTCCATTGTATTCCGTGCTTCCCCTCAGATGTCAAAGTCAGACAGCCTTGTCTGACTAAGGTATTTACTGGAAATGCATCTGTCAGCTGTCCTCCATTCACGACTCTGCACTGTAGTCCGTCATATGAGTTCCGGATAATGTTGACAATCTTCTCAGGAACTCCATAGTGTCAAAGAAGTTTCCATAATGTTCTCCTGTCCACACTGTCAAACGCCTTCTCATAGTTAACGAAGTTGATGTATAGTGACGAATTTCACTCAATTGATTATTCAACGATGATCCCTAGTGTCTCAATTTGGTCTGTGCACGACTGATCCTTACGGAATCCAGCCTGTTGATTTCAAACTCGGGCGTCTGCTGCGTCTTTCATCCGGTTGAGCAACACTCTGTTGAAAACTTTTCCTGGTACTGACAACATATGATGCCTCTGTAATTCTAACATTTACTCAGATCTACTTTATTTGGTATCTTGATGAGGTATCCTTCTTTGCAGTCCGTTGGCATTTGTTCCTCTTCCCAAATCTTTTTAATAGAAGGTGAAGCATGTTTGCAGTTACTTCAATGCCTGACTTCAGTGCTTCAGCTGGTATATTATTAGTTCCTGATGCTTTCCCATTCTTGATTTGTCTGATGGCCATCTTCACTTCTTCGATCGTTGGTGGAGTGACATCTATTGGAAGGTCTGTGTGGGCTGCTTCGATGTTCGGTGGATTCAATGGGGCTGGTCTATTCGGCAGTTCCTCGAAGTATTCTGCCCATCTTTTCTTCTGTTCTTGAATCTCAGTGATTGTCTTTCCTTCTTTGTTTTTGACTGGTCTCTCCGATTTGCTATATCTCCCTGCTAGTTTCTTCGTTGTATCATATAGTTGTTTCATATTTCCTTTCCTTGCAGTTTTTTCCACCGTCGTTACTAGTTCTATCATGTATTTCTGCTTGTCGACTTTAATGCTTTTCTTCACTTGCTTGTTTGCTTCTGCGTATTCTGCTTGCGCCTTGACTTTTTCTGCTCGTATTCGATTGTTCATAATTGCTTTCTCCCTATTCTTCCTTTCTCTAATTTTTTATACGGTTCCCTTAGAGATTCATTCCTTATGCTGATGCCTCTGGAAACCCAGTAACTCTTGAAATGTTGAAGTTAGTGCTTCTTCGATCCCTTTTCCATTGTCCTCAATCGTAGTTTCTTGTTTTTTCAGTAGATCCTGTAAAGCTTGGAACCTGTTTTTGAGAACTATCTTGAATTCGTTGTGTTTATTAGTATCTTGAATTAAGACTGTATTGAACCTTTGTAATGTTGTTCTTCCAGTTGTCCAATGTTTCTTTACCTTCCGTTTTATCCTGGCAACTAGCAGATGGTGATCTGAAGCTACGTCAGCTCCTCTCCTGGTTCTCACGTGTTCCATTGTCCGTCAGATTTTTCTTATTGACACAAATATGATCTTTCTGATTCTCCATGGTGTGATCCGGCTAGATCCATGTAGCTTTGTGTATAGGTTTGTGGGGAAATATTGTGCCGTCTATAACCAATTGGTTGAATACACATAGATTTGCAAGTTTCTCCCCATTTTCATTTTTCTCCCCCAGTCCATGTCGTCCCATGATATCTTCATATCCGGTGTTGTCCACTCTGACTTTGGCGTTTAGGTCTCCCATCAGGATGATGAGATTTTTTCTTGGGCATTTCGCTATGATCGATTGCAGCCTCTTGTAGAACTGATCTTTAATGTCGTCGTTGATAATATTGGTGTGTGAATAACATTTATTGTGATCCCCGTTCTTTGTTTTGAGTGATGCTTTGATGATTCTGGATCCGTGAGATTCACATTCTATAGGTGCATTTCATGCTTCTATGGACAGCATTCGAGCCATTCCCTGAGTGTGTGGAGCATTTTATTTTCGTGACCGGAATACAGAAGCACCTCTCTCATATCTAGCTTTGCTTTCCAGCTTGTGTCCAATGGGTTTCGCTGATACCAAGTACTGCAAATTTGTATCTCCTCATTTCCATTGCTATTTGACTGGTTTTCCCGGTCTCCCACACTGTCCGGACGTTCCATGTACCTATATAAAGTGTTGCTCTGGTTGTTAGAACGGGCATCGGCCTCGTGACTCCGGAAGAATCTCGGTTTTCATCATGAGGCATTATAATTCTTCTTTGAACTTGAAGGGAAGAGTTTAAATGATTTGAATTACTTTTTCTGGTTAGCTTCTTTTTAGCGAGTTAGTTTTCTATGGGATGGGGTCGCTAACCCCATGCCCAACTTTCCTCCTTTACCCGAGCTTGGGACCGTCAGTAAGTCTAGAAGAACTACAGGCGGAGTTCATTTAACACCTGTCACACTGTTTACATGTCTGACAACCAATCATTATCATTCTCGCTTACACATCACTTACTTAATGTAGACAATCAACATATTGTCTAGAATGACAATGAACACTTCACAGTTAGAATACCTAGCACTGAATGAATTCAACACCACTAGAAGTATCCATTTAAGTTTTTTTTTTAAAATTTCCATTACCATTATGATTTATTGATTGTTTTTTTGTTAAATGTTTCAAGTTATTTAAGCAAATGTTTTTGCCAATATTTTTTTATTACAATATTGATTATTATCCATGTTGATGGGCTTACATGTGTTGCCATGTGAAAGATAATAATAATAACTTTCACATAAGTTTTTTAGTGTAGCTTCTCTCTTAATAACACGTTAGGAACTAACAAGAACAGGTTCTTGAGATCCTGACAGATTTATAATCCATAATGAAGACTAAACACATTCTATCTAGCTTCACTGTCAATGATTACTTTTAGACAAAATAGATCAGTTGTAGTGAATCTCACTGAAACATTTTGCATGTATGTATAGGAATGTTATATGGAATACCATTTTCTGAAAGCTTACACATATCCTTCTTTAACTGATCTATGAGAGCTAAAATAGGAAATAGTTTTAAGGTTACACGTTAATGTTTTTCAATCACTAGGAGCCGATTAAGCCTACTAAATAACTAGATTATTATCACGTATTCAAGATCAAAAGTTTACTCTGGAACTGCACAGTTTTATGCTGTTACTATCTTTACTACTATTTGTAGTAGTAGTAGTAGTGAATGTTTGAAAATTCTTTCCAAAGATATACCCAATCCGCTAAGTCTGTTCCAGTATGACAAAATAGAAGGAAGATACAACCAATCCAACTTGTATGAACACAAATAAGATACACAGTTGAATGGAGTTAGACAATTAAAATATGGATAAAACTCAACTGTCAATAAGGCGTCATTGAAGTATTAAAAAATATAACAGTCATAGGAACAGTTCCCTCATATTACCAATTTTTGGTCCTCTAAACGATTCTAATAAAATTGCGCTTCAGTAAGACAACCTGTTGAGAGAAAATCTTAATAAGACTGTATGTATTTAATCAACAGCGAATTGTTTCAAACAGAATTTCCGTTATTAAACAATCCGAAATTTATACTGCATTATTCTGATGAATTTTTCTTATTATAAATAAAACTTTTCGAAACTATACAGTATTATTATTATTATTATTATTATTATTATTATTATCAGAAAGCGGGTTTTGTGCAGATTGCGGTAATTTAACAGTTGAATTCATGAGTTGATGTAAGCCATATAACCACGGAAAACCTGCAAGCATTGAACGGCCGTTTCATCGTAATATAAGACTACTGAGCAGTTCGCATCCACGATCCCACACTCAAGATCCGAACTCAGGACCTTGAGTATCGTAGTCAAACACTTCTGGATCACTGAGCTGGCCAGTATCCAACGGTGTTAATGTCTAACTTCAACCAATCCACGAAAACGAGACACTATCCACCATTGTCTTCAGTGAGTTACTGTCTCCACTGGTCTTGGTTTATAACTAGAACATCTGGAAGCCTATCACTAGTGAGCACATGATGATTATTGTCAGAATGGATGGATTTTGTTGAGATCGTAGTAATTTAATAGTTGAACTATTGAGGAGTCTCATACTAGCATAAGACGGCCATCCACTACTTCCAGGTTTTTATCAATAAAGTTTAGTTATCTCATGAGTCTCACTGAGAGCACTTCATAGTAATCACGTTATCTGTTGTAAATTAATTCAAGCTGATATTATACCTTTGAATACGAATGCAGTGATTCTAATGATTACGTGTTCATCAAGAAACTCAAAGATCCTAGGTTTCGTCCTTGGTAAGATTTTGAGTGCTTTACATTTCCATACTAGAACAATATAACTATCCATTACTTTCAGACTATAAATAGTACCACCAACTAAGATTAATCTATGATGAACATTACATAATAAATAAATAGTTAATCAACAGTCTAAGTAAAAGTAAATATAGCCTCACTTCATTAATACTCTCACAAGAAGAATGATTAAATTCAAGGAATGAATTTATTAAAGTATTGAATCAATTTCCCATTCTGTCATATTGAGCTGAGAATGAATAAAAAAAAAAGATAAGCCACAAGAAAATTTGTCTGAAATTGTGGAAATTTGGAAAAATTGGACACTTATTTCATCTTAGGGGGGGGAGACAAATAGTTATCTTATTATGGGACACTCCACCAGTGTTCATTCACGATTCTACTAGTGATTGAATCCAGGACCTTTCAGTTGAGCATTTAGTCTTCAGGCTAATGAGTAGACATTCAGGAATAAAATCATTAATACTTTACAAATGATAGAAGATACGGAATGGTTATTTCATTGAATTAAGATTCGTTACACTATCTATCAAATTGATTTTCAATCAAATCTCATTACTATCTGATGCCTAGTGTTGATAGTTACTTTAATCATCGGATAGTTGAACTTTACTGTTCATGATAATTCATTAAAATTTCATTTAGATGAAACATTGTCTGTAAGACTGTTAAATATAAGAGTCTTAAAATAGAACAATACCAATGTCAAGTATTTTCTAATGTTGAATAGCTCTGTGGTATGAACAATTTAGACGAAATCTCTTTATTCTTAAATTCACTTGGTATTGTTTGATTGAATCTTCCCATTGATGTTTAAGACTGTAAATTGATCAGTTTCTTATTGACATATGTGCATACTGTGTATAGTGCCTCGATATAACCACAATTCATAAGTATTATAATCAACGATGGATAGTAGCTAGCAGTGGAATCCACACAGGATGCACATATTCCAATAAGAGATTGATCAATTACAGTCTTAATACATCAATGGGAAGACTCAATTGAAAACTGTATCAAGTAAATTTAAACTTCACCCCATTACACAAGCAAGTGGCTATTAGGATTCTGTAACTAAGTGGATAACGTGATGGCGTTTAAAACGGATGGAACCAGGTTCGATTCCCAGAGTGAACATCAACTGTGAAGCGCAAGTACAAATAGGACGAATCGCTCTTCCTGGATTCCACTGTTAGCCACTATCCATCTTTGCTCCTTATTCTTGTCTGTTAAGCAGATTACTACAATAATATTATCTTTGTAACTTTTAATTTATTCTTATTGACATATGTGTATACTGTGCGTGTTGCCTCGATATAGCCTAAATTCATAAATATTGTAAGCAAAGATGGACAATGGCTAGCAGTGGAATCTAGTTTGACGTGCGTTTCGTCCTATTCGTGACTCATCAGCTGGATGTACCTACATCTCAGAGTTGATGTTCATTCTAGGTTCGAGTATTTGTAAACTTAGTTTACTTTCATTTTTCTCTTCTTTTTTCTTTCTCCTCATTTCTTACAGATATTCCGAGTTAGATCTTCGTAATCATGAAGTTAGAAAATCAACTAATCATATTATGAATACAACCATTGGACAACAACAACCGCAACAACAATCTACCATTAGTATAAATCATTCATCAGCATCAAGTATTGATGCAAGATATGTTGAAGAATTAGAAAATGATTTTTTTGCATTAGAAGATAAACATGAATTATTATTAAAAGAACGTGATGAATTAAATATAGAATTAGAAGTGAAAATTCGTACAATCAGTGAATTACAAACAACATTAGATCAATATCGTGAAAAGGTATCACAACTTGAAAGACGTTGTGGACATTTAGAAGAAGAAGTAAAGAGTTATCGGTTCGTAACTGGTGTGATTTCTCTTTTACCTTTTTTCATTATTTGAAATGGTTAATATCAGTAGATGGGGGTTTGTGGAGAGTTTAGTAATTTTATATAGTTGAGATCATGAGTCAATTGAAGCTAAGCCACTATGGAAAACCTGGAAGCACTGGACGGCCGTTTCATCCTATTGTGAGACTCCTCAGTGGCCGTGCGCATCCACGATCCCGCCTCGCGTGATTTGAATCCAGGATCTATCAGTCTCGCGCCAGAGTACTTAACCTCTAAACCACTGAGCTGGCCGGCATCCAATGGTGTTAATGTCAACCTTCAACCAGTCTACGAAATTGAACAACCATTCACCAATGTCCTCAGTGATATGATATCTCCCAATAGACCTGGTTGAACTCCACTGGTTACTGCTTCTTACTAGAACTCCAGGAAATACCTCATGAAGCCAGTCACTAGTGAGCATATGATAAGAATTCAATGTTTTAAATCTCTTTTTTCAAATGGAGTTAGTATAGTACGACAATAATTCAATTTCTAATAAATCTCTATGAGGATCTACTTAAAACTGGTCATATTTTATACAAGATCATCAATCAATAATCTGATTCCTTATGATAGACAACAAAAATGATGTTGCCTTATATTTGATTTTTAGTTAATCGCTTGGTATTGACTAGTACCATGTTTGTCTAGTCCCCTAGTGTTAATCAAATTCTATCGATTAAGTTAAAATATCAGTAGACTAAGTGATTGAATATAGCCTACACATTGCTGTGGTGTTAGATGATTGGAGAAAGTTGGCAAGAGTCCCACGATAGGGCGAAACGGCCGTCCAGTGCTTCCAGGTTTTCGATGGTGATCTAGCTTCAATTGACTCATGATACGTTTTTATGTGACAAATATCTTAACTCTTGACATTTCATGATTATGGCAGACATTATTATTAGGTTTCACTGACGATTTTCCAACTAAACTGTATTTTAGATGAATAAATCCAGTCAACCAACTATCACTAAGGAACTCAGTCATAATTAGTGCTCTGTATATAGTAACTTTGTTAAATACTTATTATAGTGGGTCAATCAGAAGTAGCCGAATGTGAAGGTTACTTGAAAGCAACCAAAAGTAGCCTAAAGGACATCTGCATATGATTAGCCACGGAATGGATTCGGTTTTTAAGGAGCAGGAATGCACAAATATAAATAAGTATTTATGAATACTGTTTCTATAGTCCAATAAAGTTTCACTACCACTTTTATCTTGTCACACAAGTAGTCAGTTTGAGGGAGGTGATTACAATGCGTGTAACAATGTTGTGTAACAGTATCAGACCTCGGACATCGCCCATCATAACAATTCTTTTGTGTTATATCTCGAACTTAGATTTCTTGGTCTATCACACAATACTTGACCACTCGAACGCTACAACCCTCACAAGTCACAAGTCAGAAGACAGAAGGCAAGTAGAAGAAATGTTATTCCAAACAGTGTTGATTATGGTACAAAATTGTCAGGTGTTTATAGTTTTTAATAGAAACGAAATCATCATTATAGCTATCCAATCGGCTCATAGGGAGTTATCAACATTATCCAATAGGAAAGCTACACGTAGTGATTTTAGAATATTCTTCCCAAAGCTGATTGGATGAAATATGTCCGGCTCCTTCTGGGCTCCTTAGAGCTTCCTTGACTTCACCTGTGAACCATTCTCACGTTTTGAATTTCTCATGTATAATTTTTGTTCCATTTTATAAAATAAAGATAATATTATACACATAAATTTTTTTCTATTGAACATTATAGAGAACGCTTGAAACTTCCAGAAAGTGATCAGAATCATTCACCGAATACAAATATTTTGGAACAACAACAACAATATTCAATTGGTCCTACTGATATTCATTGTAGTGCAGAACTTCAACAACGTCTTAATGAAGTGGAACAATTATGTCAAGAGGTTATGGAAGAAAATGAACAGTTAAAAGAGGATGTTGAAGAAATGCATCGAGAAATTGAAGAGATGCATGATCATTTTCAAGTGATTTTTTTTCATTGTTATGAAAAAGATGTTTTTGAATTCTTTCTCGCTAGATCGAGGGTCTTGGGTTCGATTCTCGCATGTGAGATTGTGAATGCACGCTGCTGATGAGTTCCATACTAGGACGAAAAGACCGTCCAGTGCTTCCAGGTTTTCAATGGTGGTCTAGCTTTGATCGACTCCTGGACTTAACTATTATTATGCGAATTCTCCGCAATTTAGACTTGTGTTCATGTTAGTAAAGGAAAGAGGTCTCACTTCTATTCAACACTTCTACTTGTAATATATCTCAACCAATAATCAAAGAAGTCTCGATGGCTATTATTTTGTCTAGAACTAACTTCACATAAAGTTTGTTCTAAAATAGGGAGATTTCAACGGTAAGCATCAAATTGCTATCTTACTAGATTGTAGTTGAACCCAAGACATACAAGTTACACGGTTAGCGGTAAAACATTAAGTTGATATCTGCTAGTATACATCTCTAACTTCAATAACCTAGCGATGTATAGGAACGATTAACTGGTCCTAAATAATGGGGAACTACATCACTCTTGATATGACTAAATCGCATTTTCCATGTACATTATTACTGATATTCTACTAAACTATTTGTTATAGCATATCATCTAAAATAGTTAATAGTGGAGAAGATCTGTAGCTCAGGTGGGTGATTTTGATGTAAGTTTGTTCTCTGAGCTGTATGGTTTGATTGTGGAGGTTTCATCGTCCTTCTACCCAAGTTTTATGCTGATAATGTCATTCAGAAGGACGATGAAAGCTCCACGACCAAACCATCCAGCTCAGAGAACAAATTTAGATCAAAATAGTTAATACTTTAAATGTATCATTATGTTGAATGTCTTATTGAACATTGACACGTGAAACCATTTATTCTTGTTTCAATTGTCCCATTACATTATAAAAGGGGGGGAACTGTTATCTTTAAAAATAAATCGATACATATACCGCTTTATAGTTTTGTTTACTTTTGGGTTTGTTTACAAGCCAAAAATCACAGATAAATATGAATGCAGGTATACAAACATTGAAAAATGAAAGAATCTTGTTTCAAGTCTAGAAATTAGGGAAGTGAATCATTTTATTATAAACAAATTCTGTATAATCAAAACTTATGGGAAACACTTAGTGTTGTTTACTTGTATCTTCTCATTGTTATTTAGGACTGCAATTGATCAGTCTCTTGTTGGCATATGTTCATCCTGTGTGGACTGCCTCGATATTGCCTTAAGTCACAAGTTTTATATACAAAGATGAATAGTGACTAGCAGTAGAATCCTGTTTTACGTCCTAGTTGGGATTCATTAGCTGGATGTAGCTAAGTGAATAATGTGATGATGTTTGAAGCGAACTATACTGGGTTGGAGTCCCAGAGTGAACATCAACTCTGGGATTCAGGTACATCCATCTGACTAGTCCCAAATAGGAAGAAACACGCGTCAAACTGAATTCCACTGATAGCCACTATTCATTTTTGCATACATTATAAGATATATAATAAAATTCACTTGGTATTGTTTACTTGAATCATCCTATTGATATGGTTAGGACTACAACTGATTAGTCTTCTATTAGCATATATGCATGTATACTGTAGGTATTGCTTTGATATTGCCTAGATTTCACTGTTAGCCATTATCCATCTTTGCAGTAACATTTAGTAAAATATAGCAAAAGAAGAGATGCCTTAAACCGTTTCTCGAATGATTATTATAATAGTTGCTAAGTGACTGAATTATTATGTTTATGTATTCAGTTTATTATAAGCTTTCCTACAACCCATCAATTATCATTATATTCTTTATTGCTATTATTATTTTGTTGCAAACTCATTATCTGCAATTTGTCCTATTCACTTTTTGTCTTGTTTATATCTAAATTCGGTTTTCTAAATTATGGTATGTCTATATGTATACACATGTATGACGGAAATATATTCCAATAGAGTTTAGCTTGTGAATTCTCTTTAAACTTAAGATAGAAGATAGAGAAAAGTTTGATGACAGTGGCCCAATATGAATTTAGGTTACATCGGTTCAAGGTTGATCATGACGATCCGATGTATAAGTATAATCATGATTTCCATCGGTGATTTTAAAACGTAATATCAATTAACATCTGAAGTTACAGAAGATTGTTTCCATTCCCGTCAATAATTCTATTATGTTCCCAATTATACATGTGAGCATCAACATTAAAATCCAGGTATATACAACCGATGTATCCAGAATAGGGCAAAACACGAGTTACAGATTCCACAAGATATTTTAAAGAACATATATGTTACATAACATACTAAGATGTCCATATTTGGCTTCTACAATTTACTCTGACTGGAAGACAATAAAACATGAATTCATGTGGTCATTATTTTATATACATCAAGGTATCAATCGACCACAGTTTACCAGTAATAAGCATAAATATACAACAAATTAATAAAACATTATGTAGATTGTACAAGTTTTAAAAATATTAATTAAAGTATCTGTAGGGTAAACGAAATGTGATTAACAATGGGATACAGTGTGCAAGTTTCATTCTGTTCAAGACACTTCAACCAAATCTACCTGTACATATATACACACAACAGTCAAGGCTGATAAATCCAAAGCACTAAAAATCAAACTGATCAAAGTAACTTTCATATATATACACAATTTATAACTGAAAGACAAAGTGATTTTAATGAAAATGCTTTGATAGTTTGAATCCAACTTATATTTCACATGATCGATATATTAACCCTTGAACTTCACAGTCTTGTTTCAAGGTCATTTTGTTATCATTCATATACATAACTGAAGAATTACTTAGTGAGATGAAACAAATATCTGAATACCCTTGGTCCACTATTATACACACTTCCCATATGCAAACGCGATCAGTTACCTGAATAAGAAAAACAAGAGTGGGTAAAAGGCTTTTATTGATAGGCTTGAAGGTTTGATCTACAAGGCAGTGGAACAACGTCAGGAGATGCAGTCCCACAGTAACCAGTTACCAATAATTGGTTAATACACCATTTGCTCCCTTAGGATCCTGGAACCAATGTGCACCATTGGTTTGGAATAAGGGTTTTCCAACTTCCCTGAATGAATCTTCCGTGTCCACCAATCCGGTTAAAGTGCTGAACGGAATAGATAGCCTAATAGATAGGTGATAATTATGATTTATTTTGTATACGTACATATGTATTGTGATATTTGAAATGTTTAAAAAATTTATTATTATTATTTGTTGTTGTATATAATAGGAAGAAGATCGTGATGCTGTACGTGAACTTCAACGGGATTTAGAGGCAGCTAATAAAGCTTGTAGAATATTACAATTTAAATTACGTAAAGCTGAAAGACGTTTTGAACAATGTGAAGCGGAACGAGCTAATTTAGAAGAAAGATTAGCAAGACTAGAATCTGAGTTATATAGTGAAGCAGATGTAGCACATATACATAATTTAGAGGTAAACTGTTATACATGGATGAATTTTAAGTTATAAATATAGTCCAATATTGTTATTATTATATGACAAGGAGTATTCTTAGAAAGTTGTACATAATGACAGATCACTTGACAGTTACCATTGCATTATTACTTAATCCTTGATTCTCAAACAATTCTATCGAATAAGTCATAATATAATGACTTTATTCATCTAATTAAGTCAATATCACAGTGCACTTGTTTGATGTTAAGCGTTTGTGGGGTTAAATCTAGATTTATAGTTAGTTGAGAATAAATCGATATTTCCTATCACTCCTCCACGAGGGTTAACAGGCGCAAGTAAGTAAGTATCATTTTCCAGAAGACCAGATATATTCCATTGTTAATGACTATTAAGTACGAAAACAATGCTACATCCAAGACACTGTGCAGATATTTGTTAAACTAATGATTTATTTCAATAGTAAGATTTAGATTTTTCAATCCCAAGAAGAAGAAAAAGACGTTATCTCTAAAACTAACAATCAAATATTATAAGCAAAGATGGATGGTGACTAGCAGTGGAATCCACCTTGGCGCGCGTTTTGTCTTATTTGGGACTCGTCAGATGGATGTACCTGCATCTCAGTGTTGATGTTCGCTTTGGGAGTTAAACCCAGTACCATTCTCTTCAAAAGCCATCATGTTATCCACTCAGCTACTGAGTCCTGATAGCCACTTGCTTGTGCGATGGGGTAAAGTTTAAATTCACTTAGTATTGCAAACCGCGCAGCATGTACATATGTCAATATGAGACTGGCCAGTTGCAATCCTACACATCAACGGGAAGATTCAAACAAACAACACTAAGTGAATTTAACAATCAAATAGTTTATTGAACTTACATTACGATGAATGAAATATTTTTTTGTATAAGCTCATTGATATGTTTAGAGTAATGAATGCCAACGTTTATCATTAAGATATTACAACAAAATCGGTTAAGTGCTCTGGCCTGAGACAGGTAGATCCTATGTTCAAATCTCTCGAGTGCGGGATCGTGGATGCGCACTGATGAGGAGTCCCATAATAGGACGAAATGGCCGTCCAGTGCTTCCAGGTTTTCCATGGTGGTCTAGATTTAATTGATTCACGCTTTCAACTATAAAAATAGTAAATCTCCACAAAACCCCTTTTGATAATAACAAAATATTAGACATATATTTTATAAAAGTTCATTGCAGCACCTACCAATTTTGAGATGGTTTTTTGAAGTCCTAGTGAATGGTCATGACTGGTTGAATTCAGATATGTAGGGAATAAAATGTCTGTTATCAGTAAGATTAGAAGATTGTAGTATTATATTACAAATTGATTACACTTAAAATTGTATCATTGGACACTGATCTAGTAGTTTTGCTGTTTATGCACTCACTATGAGACTTGAAAATTTTGAACACGATCCTTGAAGAGATTACGAGTACCCGCTGTTAGATAGTTTCATTAAAATATGTAATAACTATCTAATATTTCTTAGCTTTCAAAGACTATTCCACTACGGTTTGTACTACTGATGTCGACAGATATATGTAGTTTGTATCATCAATCGAAAGTGGAATGTCTCGTGGCAGAAGGTTGAGAAAATGGAAGAGAATATAATGAGGATAGACAATGATTGGGATGGAAACGAAGAAACAATAATGTCTGAGACAGTTGTTGGATATTTTACTGTATGCTTTTCAGGTTGTACTAAGACACTCTGTACTGTTGTATTGAAATACATTTGGTTGTCCCAACTTGTGTTCTTGACCACTATACCACAACTGAGATCATTTTAAGATGAACAAGACCTACAACGCAAACCGAAAATCAGAAAACTCTAACTATCCATTACATCTTTAATTAGAAAGCTAACCGTTTAACATGACCAAAACTAGTTGCAAACCTAAAGAAGCTTGTCATTCGTGAATAATCTTCAATGGAACATGAATTGAAGCCTCATAACTGTACTTTCAAAACATTTGTCATTATTCAACAACTCACAAATCTATTTAAAAATAGACAGTAAAGTTATTCCTTTTTAAGTAATTTACTATGAATCGAATAGTGTATTTGTTAGTAAATGAACAGCACACGAAATAGAATTTCTTAAGGCAGTCGATTATCAGCAAAGATTTTATTTTAAACATAAATATTGCTACAAAGGGGCACCAAATACATATGTGTCACACAAGTCACTTGATTTGTGTGTTAGCTGGTATACTGTCCGGGTTCTTAGGGGGCCATATCCCGAGTATTTGACCTGAAGATCTGATCCACAAGGCAGTGGAGCAACATCAGATATTCAACCACATAGTATCCGTTTACCGATAATTTTTTCATACACAGTTTGTTCCCTCAGGATCCTGAAACCCATGTGCAACATTTGTTGGGAATGAAGGTTTTCCAACTTCCCTAGGTGAATCTTTCATGTCCACAAACCCGGTTAAGGCTCGTGCTAGACATTCACTTTTCGTTCTCTCAATTTCGTAAACAATACAGCCATCGTGAGAAGTCAGTGAGTAGGACATCCTTGTTGTTGGTTGTATACGCGTGACCATGTGAGAGTATAAGGAGAGTGAGATCTGACTCCCTCCACCCTCGACTGTACCAGAGCATTTGGAAGCTGAAATAAGAAACGTTATAAATAAAGGCCCAGATATCATAAATACTTGAAGTGAAATAATCAAAGAACAGCATGAGATTTCAATATGTCAATATACTATGATCAATTGTAAATATCCGACACCTTGACAATAAATGAATGAACTAATTGTCCAATGTTCAGTACAATAAATTCTGATTTTGTTCGAAGGGGGGGATTTATTATTGAACAATGAAAATCATTTGAAATAGAAAAATTGGAATTATTTTTTTTTTGGTTTTTTGTTTTTTGGTATAAAAACGAAATTTGATTTCAATTAATTTAAAGATAAATCAATGATCATTATTGAAATCATGAACTAATTGATGTTAGACCACCATTTTAAACCTGGGAGCACTGGACACCCATTTTATCTTATTGTGAGACTCCTCAACACTAAGCATCCACGATCACGTTCGCAGTATTCGAACTGAAGACCTAGCAATGTCGCGCGCGAACAGTTAACCTCTAGACTAATGAATCGACATTTACTAGTGTTAATATTTAACCTAAACCAATCTGCGATCTCAATCAAAAACATAATAAGCTCCACAACACCATACTGATAATCAATGATTAGTTTAATATATGTATTTAGAGGTTTACTTTACGTTTATTTAATGTTCAACAGATTCGTGTGTTTCCCAACTTTTATCACGTGAATTATCCACTAATTGGAATACGACTTGTCGAATCTTAACATTTTGCCAAATCAATGACGTTCAACTAGTATGAGTAGTCTAGCGTCCTTATTAATCCTTTGTCCGACTAGCCCCTCCAATTGAGTCCAGAAAACCAATTACAGCTTCTGCTATGCGAATCATTTATTTCAAGCGTACTCGGTTTATATACTAGACAGACAGACCGTATCACACCATAAAATAGAAAATAATATTTGTACAAGATCAAGCCAAATGGGAAAATGAACGACTTCGCCTTGCGAGATTCGAACCCAGGACATACCAGTCTCGGCTAAATGCTCCTGGGTTCGAATTTCGCAGGGCGGGATTGTGGATGCGCACTGCTGAGGAGTTGCACAATAACACAAAACGGCCATTCAATGTTTCCAGGTTTTTTTCTGGTAGTCTCACTTCAATTGACGCATGCTTTCAACTATGAAAATACTAAATTTCCACAAAACCCCTTCTGAAAATGAAAATTGACATTTAGCTTTTAAAATATATGGTTTATTCTTGATCAGATGAAATGATTAAGTATATTGAGATACCAAAACAGGAAACTATGAATATCTAGAAAAGTAGTCAATGAAATAATAGTTATTCCATACAAGATTATCCATTCACTGAATGTTCCTTTTTTCTTTTTAATTTCTAACTCTAGGAAGAATTACGTGTCGCCAAAGAAGTTGGTGTACGTTTAAATAATGAATTAGATTTATTAGACGAGAAACGTGTTTATTATGAAGAAGAAAATCGTCAACTTAATGAAGAATTACAAACATCACAAAATAAACGAATTGCTGTGGAAAATGAATTAGGTAGACTTAAACTTGAGGTAAGTATATTTTTTAAAGAACGTTACTAAACATTCATTTTATGCAATAAACTTTCTTCAAACTGAATTCAAACTTTCTGTGATGGTTGGATCCAATAGATCCTATACTCGAACCCATCCTGGTACGTGAATGAAGTGATTAGAAATGAATAGTTTCATTCTTTCTTCTTCAATCATTATAGTAGGAATAATCCAGATTCATATTTGTTTTAAAGAAAACAACTGCATAATTTAGGGTTGTATCACATATCTTAGTCAAGTCAGTTAGTTTATTGATTTTGTTTATACGATTATTGATTAAATATTAGTTCATTTCACTCAAATTTTTATCCGAAGGGGTTTTGCGGAGATTTTAGTGATTTCATAGTTGAGTCAATTAAAGTTAAACCACCATGATAAACCTAGAAACACTGAACGATCGCTTCATACTAGTATGCGACCACTCAGTACTGCATAACCACGATATAGCCCGCAAGATTCGAACCCAAAACATATTGGTTTCGCAACTTTGTTGATTGGTTGAATTTAGACATTAACACTATCGTATATCAATTCAGTGATTTAGAGGCTAATTATTATTATTATTATTATTATTATTATTATTATTATTATTAGCTTGATTCAATATTATATTATTTGGTACAAAATCGAATTCTCAGCATAAAGTATTTCAACATATTTACGTTTCTTATTTCTTCGTTGCTCCTGATGATAAACATTCAGTGATCGCCAGTTGGATGTCAGCAGTTCAGTCAATCGACATATGAATAATGTATATTCTTTTTGCTGCATGTTCCCAGCAAACACGACATCTCTGATTAGACCTTTTCTAACTTTTACAGCGAAAGGTTGTACAGTTTTCAGAAACGCACCGGAATAGGTTGTGTGCTTAATAGCCATAATGATGTATTAAAACAAACAATATTAGATAACTTGTTGAAATATATAGATGACGGAAAACAGGTAGCCCAGATGTTTAAGCAGGCCGCCCGCTAAGCGTTCGAGCGTGAGACCAAAGGTCCTGGATTCCAATCTCGAGTGCAGAATCATTGCGATGATCAGTCCTGTACAACAATGAAACGACCGTCCAATGCTTCTGGGTTTTTCATAGTGGTTTAGCATCATTCTTCTTTATTAACTAATTGAACATTTAAAACTTTCATTTAATTTATTATAGTTATTGTAGATATTATTTAATTAGTAGTTAGTGAATAAATAAATCAATCCTGTTCCTGCAGTCTTGTTCTCTCATCCTATTGTAATTAATGATATAAGATAGTATAGTGAATGAGAACACGGATGGGGACAATCAAATGTATCTCAGCATAAATTACAAACTATCTTACTAAGATCTAATAACCATACAGTAAATAGTTAATTTGCAAAATAACAATCAATCGTCTCAATCTTGACCATCACTTCTGTAAACATCAGTTTATCGCCTCCGATTATTATTTTCCATGCATTTTCACATCAATTTCGTTCCGTTGCTGTTCCTTCCTTATCGATCTTCTACTGAAATACATTCAATGCTCGACCATCGTCTTATATACTACTTATGTGGATATCAGTAACCCACACCATAGTAGTATTCCATAGCTATAGCAAACAATCATCTTACGAAAAAAATAGATCACCATTTGATTTTAAATTATAATCTAAAACCGAATTGATCTTATTTCAAGACATTGGAATATTTTACTAAACAAAAAAAAAGAAAAAAAAAGAGAAAAAAAATCTTTAAAAAGTCATAAAAACATAAAGATCGATTGGTGAAAAATGACGTTAAATATACCTTTCTATTTAATGCTGTTGTTGTTGCTATGGTCGTTGTTCTTGTTGTTCTTGTTTTACTCTATTTTTTTCTTTATTTTGTGTTTTTTAGTTTGATAAATTGAAAAATGAAAAAGGTGTCATTGACAAAGGACCATTACAAGTGATGGATAAAAATAGAGTATGTAATATTTTAGTTTTACTTTGTTAACTTCAAGATGTTAATTATGCAAAATGTTACCTACTTAGTCACTTCTGTTACCCTTGGTTGAGTAGCACAGGTTATCCCATCAGCTAGCTCCAACCAATTCTGTTTCATATAATTCATTGCATTTGTTTCCAGTTATTATTCATCCTTGTTATAAACGGTAGGATACTTGTCATAAAGATAGGGTTTCTTGTTACAACAGTCTTTTTCAACTTTTGCACATATATGGGACGTTAATTTATCTTAGACGAATGTTTACACTAGATTCCCTCCCAGTGTCTATTCTACAGAACTTCAATACAACTCAGATCAATAGCTTGACTAGAACGTCCTTATATTTCCACACCAAATCCGACACAATCCAACAACAAGAACAGTTAGTTAATAATAATCAGGATAGGGAAATATATAACACATATAACACCTGTCACATTATCTACATGTCTGACTTAATGAAACAACCATTCATTATCATTCTCGCCCACATATCAATCCTTCTGATGTCTGCTTTCAATTCCCTGAGGAACGTGTTTTTCGGTCTTCCTCTTTTGTGTTTTTCCATTCAGGATTCCAAGTCAGGGCTCACTTTACAATCCAGTTTGATGATTTCTACAATACTTGTTGTATCTACCTTCAGTGTCTTTTCCTAATTTCCTAATTAACTGAAAGTTGGTTTATTCTCACCTAAAGTTCGTTGTTGCTAATGGTATCCGGTCAACGGATAGTGAATATCATGGGTAGAAAATCGATTTTAAATACTTGTACACTTTTGGTAATGATTGTATTAGTTCTCGACGTTTCAGCTACGTACAATAGAACTACCTTGACTTCTGTATTGAAGATTGTGAATTTGATATTGGTTGACAGTCATTTTGAGTTGTATATTTTCTCTGCCTGTAGCTCTTCTAGAGTTACTGCTGGTCCAAAACACGAGTAAAGGGGGGGATTTAGCATGGGGTCAGCAACCTCATCACGTGGATAACTTATTACTATTTTATGAATTATCCATTAAAATTTTTCCAACAATAATTTCTAGCTGTAATCTTCGGGTTCAAACGATGAGTGATGTTAATAGATTCGATCAATTATATTATCGTATCAGCTATTCGTAGATAATGTGTGAATAGTTTAAACAACTGAAATCAAAGATATTTAAGTCGGTAGACGTAACAAAAAGTTAATCAGTAGATATTTACAGAATACTCTACTGATTTTAAGTCCTGTTAGCAAAACTGCAAGTGACTAGTTTTTAAATATTTACTTCTTATCAACTAATAACATTTTAGTTCATTACACTAACATATATCTCATTATTGCGAATGTATTGCAGTAAATTTTAATGGATACATTTAAATAGAAATATTGCTCGCATCTCCTGGGATCATTGGGTAAGTATTAGTGAGGTTAGACACAGGGTAATAGGGAATGATGGTAAATCAGTTAATGAGGTTATGAACCTTCATCACCTGAGATGGTTGATACACATGTTACGTATGCCTGAACACCGATTACCACGACACTCAATGCTGGCTAGTATTGGGGATGACTGGAAGAGAGTGAGGGACGGCCAAACCAAAACGTGGCATCAATGCTTGAAGTCACTAACTTCTAGTCTAAGCCATGTTGGTGGATGCAGATTACGTGGTTGAGGTTCGTGTGAATTTTGCAACCAATGGTTGAAGACTGTATGTGACATGGCTCAGAATCGATCACAATGACGTAGATGTATACGCTCTCTGTCTTCTCTTGAAATATGAGATTAAAATTGCTTGATATCTTTCTTTCTACTGACTAATTCTTTCTTCCTGTACTACATCCTTATAAACAATCTATCTTTTATATATTACTACCATTGAAGTAACTACTTTTATGAATTGCGTGTCCATCTTGTGCTAATGAGGTGTGGCAACTTGGATTGATGCCTGATCCTACGTTGAAGCTGAATCATTGACTAATTTAGGTATAAAGGCTGATGCATTGTAGATTGAATGGTCCAAAGTAATAATTAGTTTGTAGGTTTGTATTATTTTGATTAAACAAACTAAAGTGTTATAACGGTCCGTTAACTCTTCACACATATGGGGGACGTCAATTTACCTTGGACGAATATCTACACTAGATTCCACTTTCCGTGTCTATTTTACAGGACTTCAACACAACTCAGATCAAGAACACGTGTTTAGCCTGACTAGAATGTAAATATATTTCTCCATCAAAACCCGACACAATCCAACAACAAATGCACAATCAATCAATAATAATAAATAATAAGGATAGGGGAATATATATATCATCTAACACCTGTTACACTATCTACATGTCTGACTAAGTAAAGCAACCAATCATTACTATTCTCGACAACACATGATAAAGATATCATGCTTACATATGATTTAAAATATCTTGAATATGATTTCATGGATGATAACTGCTGAAGACTAATAAACTAAGTCAAAACACCGGTTCTCTGCTATATAGCGGTTTCCAATTATTCTTCATCTGATGTCAGTCAATAATGAAAGATATCTTTAAATGTATGAAGAAATTGTTAGTAATATTATCAAGCGAATATCTAGCAGTACGTGTTAAGTCTTATTCGGATCTTGTCAGTTTCATTTCAGTATTAACATTCCTATTTATACTTGAACTCAGTGCCTTTCAGCTTAAAATATCAACCTGTCATATACTTAGCCACTGAATTCCTGAATAGGTAAATGCTTATTCAACGGATATTGAACTGCCAGCACAAGGTTCTGATTGTAACTTTTTACTTAGTATTAATTTGGGGCAGTCCGTTTAGGGTGATCAGTCTTCGGTCCTAAGTATCAACAATAGGAAATTATGAAACACAATTATTAGTAAGCAAAGATGGACAGTGGCTAGCAGTGGAATTCAGGACGCGCTTTTCGTCCTATTTGAGACTCGTCAGCTTGATGTACCTACATCTCAAAGTTGGTGCTCACTGTGGGACGATTCAAACAAACGATACAAAGTGAATTTAAACTTCACCCCATCGCACAACCAAGTGGCTATCAAGACTCAGTAGCTGAGTGGATAACGCGATAGCGTTTGAAGCGAAATGCACTGGGTTTGAGTCCCAGAGTGAACATCAACATTGAGATGCAGGTACATCCAGTTGGCGAGTCTCAAATTGGGTGAAACGCGCATCAAACTGGATTCCACTGTTAGCCACTATCCATCTTTGCTCACCATGCTTGTGAATTAAGGTTATATCGAGGCAATACGCACAGTATGCACATATGCCAATTAGAGACTGAACAGTTGTAGTCCTAACAAAATCGATGGGAAGATTCAAACAAACAATACTAAATGAATAATTATTAGTGATAGTAACGTCTAAACTGATCAATGAATCAATTGGATTTTCTTCTATTTATTTACGATAATCACGATTTTGTTTGTTTAGTCTAGACAAGGTGTTTCATTGTCACGTGAAGAATCATTTGAAGAACAACAAATAGTACGTGATTTAGAAGCAGCTAAAGAACGTGAAACTGATTTATCCGAACAATTACGATTTGCTGAAGAAGAAATACGTAAAGTGAAAAGACGATTAAAAGAATCACAAGCAGAAAATGATATATTATCTAAAAAAATGGGAAAAATCGTTTCATTACAAGTAAGGATTTTTGATGTTACATCATTAAGAATATTGAAGACTATCTATATGGGAAGTCTTGCTTGATCTAGATGCCATTCTAGTTAGAAGTAGTCAGTGAGCTGCAGCGATAATCTTAATGTAATTTATAATTCCCTTGAGTTTTGAGCACATATTATTCAGTATTGGTTAGAGATACTAATACTGGACTATTTGGGTTAGGAACAACGTCTTCAAAGCATGACATCTGTAAACTAATTGACCACGTCCATTTGTTGATGTTCACAGAACCCTATTGAAAAACGTTTTCAATTAGAATGTAAAGGTTTACTCATGAGTCGCTTGACGTTCAAATGTGACTACCTAACTTATAAAGTTCAGACATGTCAAACATAAAACAATTATCATTCATTATTTATCACAAATTGATCGAAGTTATAAATGTACAATTAGTATCTGATTTGGTCATCTTTATGTTTAAGTCGTTCACAGTGACATCTAAAGATCCTATGTTCAGTCTGTCATGTAGAATCTCAGAATTATCAAATGCTTCCCGGTTCTCAATAATATGCCAATCTGTAAGATGTAAAAAACAACTCATTATTTGATCATCCAGTCTCATCTCAGTTACATAAAGAAGATATTTTTTTATCATTGAAATCATTAGTCAATTGAGGCAACACCATCATAGAAAACCCAGAATCACTGGATGGCCGTTTCATCCTATTGTGGGACTACTCAACAGTGCGCATCCACGATCCCGCCTTGCAATATTCAAGACCTTTGGTCTTGCCCGCGAACGCTTAACCTCTTGACCACTGAGCTGGTCGGCATCCAACAGTGTTAATGTCTAACTCCAACCAATCCAAAAAGTTGAGCAACCATTCATCAATATCTTCAGTGATTTGATATCTCACAACAGACCTGGTTGAACTCCCCCTGGTCACTTCTTCTCACTAGAACTTCAGGAAATTTATCTTGAAGTCAGGAGTCTCACAATAGGATGAAATGGTTGTCCAGTGCTTTTAGGTTTTCCATCATGATCTAGCTTCAATCGACTAATGATTTCAACTATGAAAAAACTGAAATCTACACAAAAAACCCCTTCAGATATTTTTTTTATTTACGAAATAGATGAATCATTAGTTGTCAACTACATAAATTAGTTTAATCTTTTAAAGTACCTTGTTATCATTATTCTGTTAATGATAAACTTTTCCTTATTAGTCACGTGAAAGTCGATTAACTGGAACTACCGAAGATCAACAAATTGTATCATCAACTACTACACCTTGTAATAATGTAAATTCAACTGGTAACTTAGAGCAAACTAAAACTTTATTGCCTGGAGTAACTGAACGAATGAAAAATAAAATCAATACAGAAAATGATCATCGATCAATCACAATGACAAATCGTTTATTACAAAATACTACCAATCTTGAATCAAGTTAGTTCAATTGAGTTTATGTGTTGTTCACATGGATGATTTCTTATGCAAATAATGATTGGAATGAGATTGGAACTTAAGACCGAATATTGAATTGTAAGCAAACATGGATAATGACTAGCAGTAGAATCCAGTTTGATGTACATTTTGTCTTATCTCGTACTCGTCAGATGGATGATCCTGCATCTCAGAATCGATGCTCACCCAGTACCTTTCTTTTTAAACCCCTTAGCGTTATCCACTAAGCTACTGAGTCCTGATAGCAACTTGCTTGTGCATTATTTATTTAATTATATTTCTGGTTAGCGTTTTTTTCGTGAAATAGTTTTCTACAGGATTGGATCGTTAACCCCATGCCCAACCTTCTTCCTTTATTCGGGTTTGGGATCGATAGCACCCCCAAAGGGGCTCCAGACTGTTGATTTTTATTCAATGATGCATTTTCTTCTCTAAATTGCATTGTAACTAATGTTTATCCATTTATATTTCACTATAGATAATGATGAATCCAATTCTCAAATTATTCAAACAACCCTAACAGATTCAACCTTGAATAATGAATATAAAGAGAAATTTGAATTGGCGCTTAAAGAAAATGATAAATTAAAATTAAAATTACGCGATAATGATAAACAATTAAAACAAATTTTACGTGATTTACGTGTATTAAATAATTTTGAAAAATCTGATAATTGGTTTGAAAAATATAATGAACTATATGAAACAATGAAAGATCAAGAAAATGAAGTAAGTGTCTGTGTGTGTGTGTGTTTATTTGAAGTAATTCTGTATGTTGATTGATTGAATCTTCCAATTGATGTATTAGGACTGCAGCCTCTTATTGACCTGTGTGCATACTGTGCGTATTGTCTCGATATAGCCTTAATTCACAAGCATTGTAAGCAAAGATGGATAGTGACCAGCAGTGAAATCCAGTTTGACACGCGTTTCCTCCTATTTGGGACTCGTCAGATGGATGTACCTACATCTCACAGTTGGAGTGTTTTCTGGGACTTGATCCCAGTATTATTCGCTTCAAACGCTATCGCGTTATCCAGTCAGCTACTGAGTCTTGATAGACACTTGGTTGTGCAATGAGGTGAAGCTTAAATTCACTTGTTATTGTTTGTTTGGATCTTCCCATCGATGTATTAGAACTGCAACTGGTCAGTCTCTAATTGGCATATGTACATACTGTGCGTATTGCCTCGATATAGCCTTAATTCACAGTTATTATACGAAAACATAGATAGTGGCTAACAGTGGAATCCAGTTTGACACGCGTTTCATCTTAATTAGGACTCGTCAGATGAATGTATCTACATCTCACAATTGGAGTGTTTTCTGGGACTTGTTCTCAGTACTATTCGCTACAAACGCTATCGCGTTATCCACTCAGCTACTGAGTCTTGATAGACACTTGGTTGTGCAATGGTGTGAGGTTTAAATTCACTTGTTATTGTTTGTTTAATGATTTGTTTGAATGATTATTATGATTCATACGGACGCTTGAAATGATTCACCCTAGTTTAGAGCCTTATTCTGAATCTTAATAGTTTGGAATAAGATTCAAATAGGATAGAATAAACATTCTATCATACTGTTAGATACAATTAAACGTTTAGTAACAAATGGTTTTTATGGGTGTAAATATAATGTACATACTGTAATTAGATTGATTGTGTTGTGATGATTTATTTGTATGAACTAATCATAGAATTGTTTGGTTAATGTGGAATCAATCACTGAAGATAAAGATTATAATCAGCCGAACTTCATACTGAAAGATCGTAACTTTTATCTACGATGTATAGTTATGCAATCTATTTCATTATGATCATTGACTCATAAATTCTCTTTATTACTTTTATATGTTTACATACATCTATGTGGTGATTCCTGTTTAGTAAAGTAAAGCTTGATGATGATCTTTATATGCTTTGAGGATCTGTGATGCCGAAGAATATTTGAATTATAGTATGAACTAGTAATTCCAGCAATAACACAATTTAATCAGGAAGTATTCAATAAGCATGATCAAATGAATTGTATGTGGAATTCAATATCAAAACAGTCATCAATACAAGGGGATCACTAGTTCATTCAAACACTACAGGATCTCTATGTATTAATCATGTACATAATAAAACGAATTTAATGTTGTCATTCAGAAGGACGATGAAAGCTTCAAGAGCAAATCATCCAGCTCAAAAAACAAAACTCCATCAAAATATAAAACGAATCTAATCTATTATAAAACAGTAGTATATTACAGAACCTCAAAGAAGATTCCATACTCTACATATACTACTGTCGTTGATAATCTCTTTGCTTTTTCTTCTTTTCCTATTTCATAGATGACACGTATGAAGAAGAAACTGATTGAATTACAAGATGAAAATGTGAAACAACGTATTAATGAGAAAAAGATGGAGAAACCGGTGAAAAGTTATAAAGCACGTACTATACGCTTAGAATTAATGAGTCAAGAATTATTAATTGAAGAAATTAAAAAGTTAGAAGAAGAATTAGGTAAGGTTGTAAAGTGCCTTGATTTGTATAAAGGTTATAATAAGGCTATATAACACATCATAAACAATTTAATTGTTTGCTGTTGATTCATACTCAAGCGGGAATACAGCGTATGATCGAACTTAAACACTGAGATGATGAAATAAAATGAACATTATGGTTTACATCATAAACTAGCCTTAGTTACACAATCTTTCAAGGTCAGAATGCAGTGGAAATTGAATGTCAACTCTGTTTTTTTAATAAATGAAGGTCTTGAACTTAATCTCTTATGAAATTCACTTGGTGTTGTTTACTTGTATCTTCCCATTGTTATTTAGGACTGCAAATGATCACTCTCTTGTTGGTATATAGACATCCTGTACGGACCGCCTCGATATTGCCTGAAATCACAAGCTTTATAAGCAAAGATGGATGCACATATGCCAACAAATGACTGATCAATTTCAATCCTAAATAACAATGAAAAGATACAAGTAAACAACTGTTAGGATATTCACAGGAATATCCCAAAAATTATCTCAAATGTAAAGTGGTATGTTTTCAGACTCTTCACCTAATTCGCATGTTATTTCCTATTGACCATTATTTACAGTTGTCCTAACTATGACTTTCATGTGTCGTTTCTCTATTGGTCAATTTTGAGTTGTCCTAATTATAACCTTTACATGTCCTTCCTTTCCATTGGTTACTGTTATTAGTCATCTTAACTGTATAAATATGCCTTATCTGTAAACCATTTTTGGTTCTGCTGCTGACCCCATTAACAATTCTAATTTGACGGCTGTGTTCTGATTTATTGGAGTTGGGGAACAGTATTGGGGTCGAACTAGGATATCTGAATTTGGTCAATCGGTAGAATTTCGTGTGGTCCTATCGCAATACGCTATATTTCGCGACATAACAACAACATCAAGTGAATTTCAACTTCACTCCGTTGCACAAGCATGTGGCTATCAGGACTCAGTAGCTGAGTGGATAACGTGATGGCATTTGAAGCGAATGGTACTGAGTTCAAGTCCTAGAGTGAACATCAACTCTGAGATGAAGGCACATCGATCTGAGAAGTCCCAAATAAGACGAAACGTGCGTCAAAACTGGATTCCATTGCCAGCCACTATCCATCTTCGATTAATCTCTTATGGTTTCATTGATGCATACTGCTGAGAAGTCTCATATTAGGAAGAAACAACTGTTCAATTTAAACTATAAATATATTTGACAGTCCTCACAAATCACGATAAATCTTAACGAAGAATATCATGAACAATCTAACGACTAACTCTAATTATCAGTATTTATGGTTTTAAAGTTTATTATTATGGACTTCTTTCGATAAATTAACAAATATTGATTGGAAAGTAAAGAAAAACTTTTGACAGGATTCGAACTTAAGACCTAATATTCTATTATTTTTCTGGTCAGCGTTTTTTGTTTTGCGAGTTAGTTTTCTACAGGATGGGATCTCTAATCCCATGCTCAACCTTCCTCCTTTATCCTTGCTTGGGACCGGTAGTAGCTCTAGAGGGGCTTTTAATCATTCATTAATGAATAAAGAAACACCAGCTCATAATAGCAACTTTTGAAAATGAGAATATCATTAGTTGACCAATCATATGTATTCAGTTAACTCAATGTAAATTGTGAAAAAGTTGTCTATACTATCAGAAATACAGATTAATAAAATAACTGTAAACACATCGCTCCGAAAAATTCTTCTTTTAAAGTAATCTACAGAGTCAAAGAAACCGGATCGAAGAAGGCTGGGTCAAATCAATATTTTATGCATTGCTGAAGCATTGGCAATCCAAAAACTCAAACCTAAACTTTGCATGCAGAAACAATTTGTTCAACCTCTTACCGGTCATTTAACCCTAATTTCCTTAATGTAAATTACTAGAACGAATAGAAGACGCCTTTTCATTTATGGTTAGCACTTTTTTTTAGCTAGTTGATATTCTACAGGTTGGGGTCGCTAACTCCATGCCCAATCCTTCTCCTTTATTCAGGTTTGGGGCTGATAGCAACCCTCGGACGAGCTACAGGCGGAGTTTTTCAGTTATGGTACAAGATGATTAATAATATTTCTTTTTTTCTTTTTTTTTCTTTTCATCCAAACAACAACAACAACAACGACGACGACAATAAAAGATCAAAAAACAAATGAAATTCATATTATAAATGAACAAATGAATAATATACAATATCATTATAAACAATTTGAAGAATCTACCTTAGATAATTATACTGAATCAAATCAACATAAAACTGACTTATTAAAATGTTTAAATCATTTACAATGTAAATGTATTCTATTCAATGAATTAGTTCTAATGTTAGAAGAACAAAATAATAATTTATTATTAGAAATATGCAGGTAAGTAGTGAATATGTAATGGGGTATCGGTATAGTTTTGTTATGTATAGTTGAAGGTTTCCATATGAGATTAGAGGTACCTTGTTTATGTGCAAAATTGATTGACTGGTTAATCGATTCCATTGATATTGACTAAAGACTAATCAGTTGCACTTCTAACATATTGAGGAGAAGATTCAAACAAACAATACTAAACATATTGATGATCGCTTTTCAATGTTCTTAAAGGTTATTGTTATTGAGACATTGCAAGACATATTAACATTGTTAATATTTTCATAGTTGAAATCATGAATCAATTGAACCTAGACTACCATGGAAAACTTGGAAGTACTGGACGGCCGTTTCGTTCTACTGTGGGACTCTTCGGCAGTGCGCATACACGATCTCGCCTCGCGAGATCCGAACCCAGGACCTACCAGTTTCACTTCACTTGACTCATGATTTCAGCTATGAACATATTGAAATCTTCACACAACCCCTTCTGATAATAATAATAATCATATGCTCACTAGTGACTGACTTCAAGAGATATTTCCTGGAGTTCTAGTGAGAAGCAGTAACCAGTGGAATTCAACCACGTCTGTTGTGAGATAACAACTCACTGAAGACAATTGGTGAACGGCTGCTCAGCTTCGTGGATTGGTTGAAGTTAGACATTACCACCATCGGATGCTGGCTCAGCGGTCTAGTGGTTAAGCGCTCTGGCGCAAGACTGGTAGGTCGTGGGTTCGAATCTCACGGGGCGGGATCGTGGATACGCACTACTGAGTAGTCCCACAGTAGGAAGAAACAGACATCCAGTGCTTCTAGGTTTTCCATGGTGGTCATGCTTCAATTGACTCATGTTTTCAACTATGAAAATACTGAAATCTCGACAAAACTTTTTCAGATTGCTAATATTAATGAGTTTGACTATCGTGTAAGTGGATTAGGTTAACTTTGTATTAATGATTTACCCGACCAATGATCGAAATAATTAAACATGTGATACGAATGTGCATATCAGTGATGCAAATGGTCTATCAGAGTGTTTGTTACCCGTGTGATTGCGCCACAGGATTGCGCTTTACTATTCAGATTAAAGTGTTAAAGCCTACGTAGTTCTATGTGGTTCTCCTGTGAAGCGGGAATGAGATGTACTGTTTTGGATGTTAAGTGAAAGTCTGGATGGTTTCCAGTTCTCCTGAAAACCAATGTAAAATTACCTTAGCCTACAAATTTCTATTATCTAACTGTAATGTGATTTTGGTATAAATGTCATATAAGCGTCATTAGTATAAATGTCATCCAATAATTTCGTATTTCCATATATAGATCAATCTAAATACAAAAGAATGGATAACAATATTTACAAGTGTTTCTATCTATGCTTCTATGATGCACATCATAATAGATGATGCATTGATATGAATAGCATATAATACAATTACGTAATGTTGTATGGATTGAAATTAAATGGAAACTTGTGTCTTGTTTCTAGACTGTTCACTCACCTGTTGTTTTACATTCAAGGAGTATGGTACAGTAAAATAGTGCATATTGTTGCTTAAGCATACTAGACTATCCATAAACATATAAATGTCGATTGCGCATTAGGTGTGAGATGAATTTAACAATTGCTAAATGGATCGGCTGTAACGAAAATTATGTTTGGTACGGTTAATTCAACTTGGATTCAACTTCGAAAATGCTTAAAATGATTACTAGATGTAATTTATGTACTTCATCGTTGTAAGGGATATACAGCTGTTACATAAAAGCAAAAGTTTCACATGACATTTATTGAAATAGACTCAACAAAGCTGATGATTGTTAGTATTATCGCAAGACAGAAAGGCTAGGGAATCTTATGAAAGAAGATAAACAAAGAAATAGAAATGTACTGAGAAGTAATCTTTCGACTGAATTCAATCAGTACTAAGAGCCACCGGATACCTCAGTAGTAATGTCTATGTTTGTAAAACTGGATGACGTAGGGTGGAATCTGAGAGAGAGCATCAATTTTAAAGGTATACCTCACTGACGAATGACAAATATCATGAAATCTAGGTCCAGGGTTTCTTGTTGACTACCTCAAACTACCTGACACCTCAAAATAGTGCATGCGTAATCGAGTAACTCAGATCAGTGGCCACATTACAAATTGATTAATTGAATTCTATTAGCATTAAAACGGACTTGACATAGATGATATTGGTTACTGCCCAGTGATCTATCCGATGCCAGCTAATACAAAAATAATAACAACTTTATTGAAAAAAAGTGGATAAAGTAAAGAAGTATTTCTTCCTTTTTCATTTCTAAATATCTAAATGAGATATTTCACTTAATTAAAAACTTTATCAAATTATTACCAGAATGGGGTTTGTAGAGGTTGTAGAAAATTTAATTGTTGAGTTCATGAGTCTAAGTAAGCTAGACCACAATAGAAAACTTGGAAGCACTCGACAGCCATTTCATCTTAGTATGGGACACTTCAGCAGTGCACATCCACTATCTGGCAAATGAGATTTGAACCTAGGACCTTCAGTCTCGCGCGTGAACGCTTGCACTTTAGACCACTGTCTAACTTCCATCAATCCATGAATGGTTGAGAATCCATTCATCCATTTTATGAGGTAAATACCTGTCTCTACTCGTTACGGGTTGTACTTCACTGATTAATACTTCTTATTAGAACTTGAGTAAATCATCATGAAGCCAATGGTCTAAAGGTTAAGCGTTCGTGCATGAGGCAGAAGATCCTGAGTTCGAATCCCTAATGCGGGATCGTGGGTGTGAACTGTTGAAAAGTTCCATACTAAAACAAAATGGCCGTCTAACGCTTCCAAATTTGCCATGGTGACTTAGCTTACATCAATTTATGTATTGAACTATTGAAATCAAAATTTACACTGAAAAAATATAATCACTTATATAATTAATTAACCAATAGAAAAACAGTAACATTATTGATTTGTTAAATAATAAATTATTGACCAATCAAAAAATAGAAAATATACATGAAGATTATTCATAATTTTATTTGGCACATTTTTGCACATTCAAAATGTGCTAAAATAGTTAACAATAATATTTTTTTTAAAGGAGGGGGGGAAATATTTTTTTATAGACAACAATGAAATTCATTATAAAAGTTAATCAATAATTTAGATAAACTTTTAAGATAATCAACAAAAAAACCATGTGAATTAAGGCAATTTGCATAGTATGTACATATGTCAATTACAGTCCTGTAAATCAGTGGGAAGATTCGAGTAAAATCAATATAAAATGAATCTAAAACTTCACTTTATTACACAAGCAATTGGCTATCAAGATAACGTGATGGCGTTTGAAGAGAATTGAACTGGGTTTGACTTCCAGAGTGAATATCAACTCTAAGTTGCAGGTACATCCAGCTGACCAGTCTCAAATAGGGCGAAACACGCTTTAAAATGGATTCCACCGCTGCTAGACACTATTCATCTTTGCTTATAATACTTGCGAATTAAGACTATATAGAGGAAATATGTACAGCATGCACATATGTCAATAAGTGACTGATCAATTTGTAGTCTTAAACATCAACGAGAGGATTTAAGTAATAACAATATCAAGTGAATTTATAACTTCACCCAATAACCCAAGTAATTGGCTATCTGAACTCAGTAACTAAGTGGATAACGTGATGGCGTTTGAAACGAATGGAACCGGGTTCGAGTCTCAAAAGGAACATCAGCTGTGATATGCAAGTACATTGATCTGACGTGTCCCAAAAAGGACGAAACATACATCAAGCTGGACTCCACTGATAGCCACTATTCAGCCTTGCCTACTATGTATAATCACTATAAAAAATGAATCAATGTTTAAAGCAGATCAAAGGAATTGAATATTAGAAGTTCATCTATATATTTATATCTAAACCTATTGGTATGAAACCAATAAATACTGGATGCTTGAATTTAAGTGTAAATTATGAATCCCTATCTGGATTGCCATAGTATATTAATTAAACTTTGGGCTGTCAAAAACAAGCTTTCATCCTAAGTTTCATATTGGTTGGTATTCATCTGTATAATATATATTTATATATTCGATAGAATTAGATGTTACTATTCACTTATTTAAAATTGTGACAAACATTTAAAAGAATATCTGTCGTTGTACTTGACGGCAACCGTAATCACATTACCTAGTCTTTTAGCTTTAATGGAATTCTATTGATCAAGTCACTATGTGGTGTGCGCTACTGATGTAGACAGATATAAGTAGTATATATCATCAATCGAAAGTGAAATGTCTGATAGTAGAAGGTTAAAAGAGAATGAAAACAAAGAGAGATTAGTGTAGAAATAAAAGATTAATGTAGTCTGAGACGATTGATTGACATTTTTCAAATGAAGTATTTAATGTATAGTTCTCAGATTATACTAAGATGTTCTGTAATTTTGTGTTGAAATACATTTGATTGCCCTCACTTATGTTCTAGTTCACTACAACACTACCTTGAATTAGTAATAAAAAAGAAATTTTTAATAATTAGTAGCAATCTCCAATTCACAATTTCAATTAAATTTTGACAATATATACAACGTTAATCGCTTTTAATTGATCATGTAGCTTGCATTAACATCTTTTAATAACATTGATCAAACGGATTGATCATTTTCAATAAGAGCTACACTATATCACAAACATACTGAAGTCAAACACATGGGAAACTGTATACTAGCTGAAGTCTTCAGTGATATCATGGTTTTGCTGAAAAATTGAAGTGTTTTGGCTTTGACTGGATATGGTGTTGAATGTTTACAGACAATAAATAAATAAATCTCAATGAGTTAAACACTGTTGACAATTCGTAATGAGATCATTAGTCAATTGAAGCTAGACCGTCATGTAAAATCTGGAAGCACTGGACGGCCGTTTTGTCCTAATGTAGGACTCCTCAGCAGTACACATCTACGATACTGCCTTACGAGATTTGAACCCAGGACCTATCAGTCTCGCGCGCGAACAATTAACCGATAATTCATAATGAAACAGATCATTAAATAATTCAAAATTTGTAAATTACCATCAAAGTAATAATAATTATGGTTACTATTTGTTATATTATTTTAGTCTTCTCAATGTGAATTACACAACGGAAGATCAAACATCTGTGACTAAGAAGGTTGATGAAATTTCAAATGAATCAGTTAAAATAGTAGTAAGTTATTCAGCTATGTCTTCTATTTACAGTAATGTATTCCTTTTTTCATAATATGAATGTCTATTGTATGTTTAAATAATGTTGCCAATAAGCATTCAAATACATCTAAGATTGGAAGACAAATTCACTGGGAAAATTACCTATCTAACTGCTATACTTAAGCTAGTGTTTTAATACAATTCGAATGCCTTAAAGATGATGAGATGGTTGTAGGGAAATTAGACAAAAAATTCACATCTTTGTTAATAATAATATGAAATGAATTTAAAAGTGACTTACCATTTATATAAACTCAGTTGAATAATGGCTATCCTATTTGGGACTTGTCAGATCGATGTACCTGCATCTCAGAGTTGGTGTTCACTCTGGGACTCAAATCCGATTCCATTCGCTTCAAACAACATCATGTTATCTACTCAGCTACTAAGTGCTGATAGCCACTTATTTGTGTGACGGGTGAAGTTATAAATTCAGTTGATATTGTTTCACTTGAATCTTCCCATTGATGTGTTGGGACTGTAAATGATCAATCTCTTATTGGGATATATGCATCCTGTGTGGATTCCACTGCTAGCACTATCCATCTCTGCTTATAATGTTTGTGAATAATGGCGATATCGAGGCAATGCATACGGGATGCACATGTGCCAATAAGAGACTGACCAATTTGCAGTCCCAAACATCAAGATACAAATATACAACACCAAGTAAATTTTACTTATCAGTTGTTTACATTTCTGAAGTGATTTTATTTTGTCATGAGTAATTTTGATGAATTAATTAAATTAGAATGTTTTTTTTTTGATATTATAGTAATTTAGTAGTTGAATTAATGAGTCGATTAAAGCTAGACCACCATGGAAAATCTGGAAGCACCGGACGGCCGACTCAGTGGCCTAGAAGTCAAGCGTTTGCCCGCGAGACCAAAGGTCGCGCGTTTGAGTCCCGAGTGTGGGATCGCGGATGCACTGTACTGAAGAATCCCATACTAGGGCAAAACAACCGTCCACTGCATTGGGATTTTCTATGGTGGTCTAGCTTTAATCGACTCATGAATTAATTAAATCTTTTAAAATTGTCAAAGTGTAGAATTTACTGTAGATATTCCAGTTTAGAGTTTCTTTGTGAGTTAATTACCTTTTTAAATCAAAATAATGATAAGAGATTATCATAATGGAATTTACAAATTACACTGCGATATTTATGATAGTTCATTAACTACATCTAATAGATAAAATTAGTAAGTATGAATGAGCTTCAAATCTTTGACACATTCAATTAAGTCAATATACAAAATGCTCTGGTACGGCTGAGAGTGAGGAGAGTCGTCTCCTCTTCTCGCAATGCTCTCACATGGTCACGCGTATATAGCCTCTGTCAGGAAAGTCTTACTCAATAACTTCTCGTGGCATTACTAATGTTCACGAACTTGAGAGGACGAAAAGAGAATGTCCGGCGCTTTGATAGGGTTGGTGGACACGGATAGTCCACCTAGGGGAGTTGGCAAACCCTGATTAAAATATTACAGTATTACAGCACTGACACAAATCAAGTGAGATTTGTGTGGTGCATATGTATCTCGTGCCCATTTTTACTAATTATTATGTGTTTAAATAAATAATTAAATAACGAAAGTCATTAAATTATAATTATCTGTGTATTCAATTTCAACTTAGTTCATATTCATACAATAGTCAAAATCTTTGGCAACACATATCAAATTTGGTTCATTAATGATTGTTCTTTTAATCTATAATTTAGGATCCATATCAAAAAATTCGATGTCTTGAAAAACTTCTCTCAGAAGAACATCAACATACACTGATTCTACAAAAACGTTTAGAACTAGCATCTAAATCCAATGTTAGTATTGATCAAAATCTTACAAAACAATTAGATACTAAACGAAGTGAAGTATTACAAAAAGAGGTAAGTCATTGAATAGATTTTCTTTATATTATCAATAGTTATGTTTAAAATATTAATTTATGTTTTGATGGAGGTTTGTTCTCTGAGCTGAATGGTTTCATCGTGAAGCTTTCATCGTCCTTCTGAATGACATAATCAGCACATACTTCGGGTAGCTCAGAGAACAAAACTCCATTGAAATCATCCGCCTGAGCTACAAATCTTCTCCACCATATTAATTTATGGTTATGGAAACAAAAGATTTTATATGGTTCTAGAAATGGATATAGTATTAAAACTAACTAATTGAAATGGACGATTATGCATACGATAATTTAAATGAATGATTGGCAAAGCTAGGGCAGAATTCCTACAATTGAAGAACATAGAACTCAAAACAACTGTCAACTGATTTCAAAGTGAGAATCTTCAATACGAACATGAAGACAGTCCTACTGCGCAGAGCTGAAACTTAGAGAACTACTACATCCATCGTCAAGAAGGTACAAGTATTTATAAACAGCTGTCTACGCAAAATACTCGACATTCACTGGCCGGATACTATCAGCAACAGCGTTTTATAGGAGAGGACAAACCAGCTTCCAGCTGAAGAGGAAATTAGGAAAAGATGTTGGAAGTGGATAGCACATACAATAAGAAAATCACCAAACTGCATCACGATTCAATCCCTAACTTGGAATCCGGAAGGGAAGCGGAAAAGAGGAAGGCGAAAGAACACATTACGCCGGTAAATAAAATCCGATATGAAATGATGAATATTAACTGAAAAGAACTTGAAAGGATTGCTTGGGACAGAGTTGGATGGAGAATGCTTGTGTGCGGCCTATGCTCCTTGACGAGGCGTAACAGGCGTAAGTAAGTAAGTCTAAATGAATGCTCGATTGCATTTCCTAGCCACTTCTAATAACAATGGAGATATATTCAACATTGTTATATCACCTAGGTTGAAGTTTAAATTAACTTACTATTATTTGTTTGAATCTTCGTATTGATGTTTAGGACTACAACTGGTCAGTCTCTTATTGGCATAAGTGCATACCATGCGTATTGCTTCGATATAGCCTTAATTCAGTGATTTCAATGATTTGAGATTTATTATATTAAATTTATTTTAGTTGGATGAGAAAGAAGAAATACTTGATGCTCGTGATGAACAAATCGCTGATTTAAAATCACGTGTTGAACAAATGCGTAAAATGAATGAAGCAATGCGTGCATTGATGGAGAAGGAACCAAGTGAAAACAAGGTTTGCTTATATTTATGTTGGTCTATTTTTGGTTGATACTATTCAGTGAAATAGGTGTTTGCGTAGATTTTTGAAGTTATATAACTATGCATCATGGACTGACCTTAGAAAAGTATTGAAAATCAAAATGGATTGGACACTTTTTAAGTCCTAGTATGATCAAGCGATTCAGCTAATTGGTTCAAGTCAAATACGTACACTATCAGACACTGACTTGATAGTCTAACGATATGGCGCTAATTGCTAGATTTAAGTTTCCTATTTACCATCCTCTGTGAGGTCACGTATTCACACTATGAAGGACTTTCACGCTTCAGAAGATTAGTCTATGATGTAAATTTGATGATCAGGTTATTTTTAAGACAATTGAATGAAAAAAAGTTAAGATCTAGAGGTATTTCACATAAAATCTTCATGCAGTAGATGTGTAAATCCACTGACATCATAACATGTTTCGAAATGTTATATGGAACTGCTTAATGAGCGATCGAACCAGATGCATTTTATTTAAACACATAAATATTGGTACAAATGGGCACCAGATATATATGCGCCACACAAATCTCATTTGATTTGTCTGAGGGCTGTGATACTACTCGGATGTCCAAACTGAATCAGGTGGTTTTCTTAGGGGGCCACACCCGGAGCCTTTGACTTGATTGTCTAGTCCACAAGGCAGTAGAGCATCTTAAGGAGATGCAGTCTCATGGTAGCCGGTGACCAAAAATTGGTTCATACGCCATTTGTTTCTTCAGGATACTAGAGCCTATGCGCAACATCGGTTATTAATGAGGTTTTTCCAACTCGTCTAGGTGAACTTTCTGTGTCAAATTAACTTGAAATTTTTAATATTTTGTCAAAATTGAATTTTCGATGTTTACTTCTTTTCATTTATCTTCTTTTTAGTCACAAAAACTGGGGACCAATGTTGAAATAACTAGTTATAAGAAAGAAATTGAATGTATGAGGAAAGAAATGCAAATTGTAAGTCACTACGGGATAAAATAAGCTTATCATTATATATATGTATACATGCTTACTGTAAGACTTGAAAGTCCTGATTTTGATCCCTTTTGTCTCATTGATGCACACTAATCAGAAGTTTGAAACTCTGTTAAAACGAACACTAAATAGTTTTGTACTTCTGATCATCCTTTAACTGAAATCAGTTAGTGAATAAAATAACTTTAGACCTACTTAGGTAGGTTCATGTTCTATAAATAATTCTATCTTCGAAATACGGATAAAGAATACTAAGTGAAGATCGTAAGTTATTGATGAGACTAGGAATCCGCATCAAATGACTTGATAGAATAATAGGTACCTCGATATGTGAGGCTTGTCATCACAGAGTATGGTTGGAGAGTTAGTTATGAATTTAGAATAACGTATGAATTCGTTAGGGTTGACAATTGTGGTATAGACTACCAATCATATACAATCACATTGTGTAACATTTGAAATATGTGTAATTTTATCCTCTAGAAATCCATATAAATAATTTGTTGTTGCCTGAAACCTATTATCAACATACCTTATCTAACCTGTAATCCTGATATTTCCGAACATCTTACTAGTATAGTATATTGTTCACTGTGAAGATTGAGTTATTCGTTCAAGATATAATTCGGTAAGTAATGATGTTCTTGATAAGAATGATCACATTTTCAACCAATAAAAAACAAACTGTAATCCACTGTAGTAAATGAGAACTCAGCTTGAACAAACCAATTCATTGTTTAAAGCAGAGTTTCATAGTGTCTTCCTAAAATATGGAACCCATATAATAAACACTTCATCTGTACATAATCCATCAGTTGTCTATTACAAACTACATCGTTTCTTCACTCCTCTTGTTATTACTACTACTCTTTGTTAACATTCCTGTTCTCTTCAATTTGATGTTTTCAATCTCCTAGTGGCAAGTACTCCACTACAGATCGGTGTTGAATACTACTTATATTTGTCAACATAAGTAACATAGACCACACTAAATTTTAAAAGAAATCATTCTACAGGTTGACTTTTATTGTGGGACTCCTCAGCAGTGCACAATCATGATCTCGCCTCGCGAGATAGGACGAAACGGCCGTCCAGTGCTTTCAGGTTTTCCTTGGTGGTCTAGCTTCAATTGATTCATGCTTTCAACTATGGAAATTTCGAATAAATTGAGCATTGGTTAGATTGTTATCAATAAATTAATATATTTGTAATATCCCAATGAGTAGAAAAAGAATGAAATTTTCTGACGTTTCTTGACTCAGTGTAAGCCCCTTCTTTAGAGGATAAATAACTAGATCAAAATTAATCCAAGTTTAAATGGTATAACGCAACAATGAGAATATTATATATATATATATATATATATATATATATATATATATATATATATATATATATATATATATATATAGTTGAAATCATGAATCGATAGAAGCTAGACCACCAAGGAAAACCTGGAAGCACTGGGTGGCCGTTTCATCCCTTTGCGTGGCTCCTTAGCTGTGCGCATCCACGATTCCGTCTGGCGAGATTCGAACCCAGTACCTACCATTTCCGCGCAAGAGCAATTAACCGATAGACCACTGAGATGGCCGTTATCTAACGATGTTAATATCTAACTTCAACCAATCCTCGAATATTAAGTGATCAATCAAAAAACAGGTCTGAATAATTCAATTTCATGTCATTTCAGCCAAGATGATTCATAAGCGAGATGTATGTAAATCTTTTGTGTGTATGTGTGCACTGTTAAGGATGAAAAAATGTGTGACCTTTATGGTGAGAAAGGATAGAGTTTCATTTGTAAGGTAATAGTGCTAAATGTGAATAATATCAGACTAAGTGCTACGATAGATAGTCCAAGTAGGATGTATGGTAAGGCCTTCCTTTCTATTGAGAGAAGTAGGATTAAGCATTGTTCATATGGCACGATTCAGCTACTCTCCTTTCTTTGTGATTGGAAAAGCTTTTTTGTATTATTCTGATATTGTTGAAATCGATTTGATCGTGGTTGAAAATGGCATGAGCTGCTATTGCTGATTTAATTTAAAGTCTATCCAGTTCTACAGGATTATTAGGAGGTTTCTTTGTGTACCTAATATGTTCTTTGGCACAAGTCAAGATTTTGCGAGATGACTCTCCAATATAGAAGGCATCACAATCGACACAACCTAATTTGTAGACTCAGTTTTGTGTGCAAATGAATAGGATTTTTTTCTTCTAATCGAACTTTGTCTTGTAACATACTTTAATTCTGTGTTGTTTTAAGATTCTTTGAAGTTCTTCTGTTGTGCCATGACGGTATGGTAAACCTGCAGTACCAACCCATGGCATTTCATTCGAATTATTATTATTACTTACTGAACCGTCTTGTTTTAAGATACTTCTAATAATTTTCATTGGAAAATTATTAAATTGTTAGATACTAATTACATTCTTTTGTTCTTTTTGTTTGTTCTCTTCTGAAATGATGATCTTGTTGGCTCTCCTAAGAAGATTTAAGGCTAATGAGATCTTAGCACTGAAACGATGTGCTGAAGTCAATATAGCGATTAGATTGTGTAGGCTTTCGGTAGATGGTTAGATTTAGAATTCCATTTAGATTTCTTTTCACTAAGCAATCTAAGAATGGTAGCTCACCATGTTCATTTTCATTCGTGAATATATATTACGTACTTATTATTATTTGAATATCAGCTGCTCCAAAATACAATTCCTAATAAGATAGCACCTTCATAATTGATTGATCACTGGGTGGCGATCAACGTCATACGTGTCAAGTCCGTTTTAGTGCTGATCGATTGCTATCGATTAAGTTGCAGTGTGGCCACTAGTCTAGATGGGATTGAAATGTAATCACAATTGATTGATCACTGGGTGGTGATCAATGTCATGCGTCTCAAGTCCGTCTTAGATATCACCTTACTGGTTGAATACGTTGATGACTACCATAATTTAGTAACGCTGAAGTGGTGTCTTAAACGATAAAAGCTTATTTTGAATCTTATTGTAAGTATCAACTCTAGAGTGTATGAACATTCACTAGACGAAACTAAAGTAAGAAGGAATATGCACCGTACATTCCACTGTGAATCATGAAACACTTAAATGGTATTTTTTTTGTATTTTCTTCTACTATTCAAAATAGATTCGTAATAATCTTACACAAGCTGAAAAAGTAAAAGAGAAATTAGTCAAAGAGAATAGAGAACTTCAAGAAGAATTAAAATTACGAGAAGATTCAATATTTGAACAAGATGATGAATTAGAACGACGTAATAATGAAATTCGTGGACATAAGTCATCCATTGAACAAATAAAACGTGAGGTAAGAAGAAAATGGTTTTGTTCTTTCTTTTCTTTGAATGTTATTGGAAATATAATTAATCATGTATTGACTCAGTGATAATAATAAATATGATGTGGTGTGGTCTACTTATATCCATATAAGTAGTACATGGTGAGGGTCAGACAAAGAATGTACTACAGTAGAAGATCGATGAGGAACGAACAGGAACGAAGCGCAATCGGTATTAAAATGCAAGAACAATGAAATCAGAGGAGACGGACTGATATTTGCAGAAGGAACAGTAAAGATTCAGTCAATTGATTGTTAGTTTGAAAATTAACTGTTTGCTGTATGACTATCAGAATTTAGTCAGTAATTTGTGCCTTAATAGATTAAATTGTTCCCACTCGTGCTCATGTTCACTACAATGAGACTGTTGTGAATGAGCACTCCGTTGGAGAAGATCAGTCTATTGTTTGACATAAAGTTACAGTATTTTTGTAAAATATGAAAATCATACATTCGATACTTCATTTTCAAATTCTTCATCAGTTATCTCAATCTTCATCGTTACTTCATTGCTATTACAGTTGCTCTCTGTTTCCGTTCTTTTCAATTTGATCTTTCCAACCTTCTGCTACTTCTATTTGATGTTACGTAATACTTATTTCTGTCGATAGACGTCGCGTACACTACAAGACTATACTGTTTCGACAACATTAGGCTGATAACTAATCAATATAATGAACACATTGGTGCACACAATTTCAAAGCATCTATTCGGATATCATGTAAAAAGTATTACGTACATCCGATAATTTTAACTTGAAAGTATTAGCAAGCGATTGCTAATTAGGATTGGTTATATTCCAAAGAGAATTATGAATGGTAACTATTGAGAACTATTTATGGACCAATATGATTTCCTATTGTAGAATTGTTAAGTAACTTGACTATTCATATTCATGTTCCTTTTACTACAGGCTTTATTTTGACCCATAGACTATTACTATACGATTTGCCGTTCTTGAGTTATCCTTAGTCTATTAATTACAGGAGTGAAACATTTTGGTTGATTTACTTCAAACTATGAACGGTTAACAATACAGAAACTGATGTAGAATGAAATGAAACGTCACTTAGTATTGTTTGTTTGAATCTTCCAATTCATGTTTAGGACTGCAATTGATCAGTCTCTAATTTGCATATGTGCATACTGTGCGTATTGCCTCGATGTAGCCTTAATTCACAAGCCCTGTAAGCAAAGATGGATAGTGACTAGCAGTGGAATCCAGTTTGATGCGCGTTTCGTCCTATTTAAGATTCGTCAACTGGATGCACCTGCATCTCAGATTATGATTAGGACAGTTTAAAATCTTGTAAACCAAGTGTTCAAAAGATATTCATGTTGAATATATCGACTTGACCTTCAAGGAACAGCTTCTACAACTTTCATATTTTCACTCATTTTCCCCACCTTAACAAAAATTGTTGTCATAAAGAGAATAACTTTTTAATTCTTTTACTACTCAAGATTTTTATAATTGAAATGGTCATGCATTCAATGCTCTTTCTCATGTCTATTAAATAGTTGGAACAAACAAAACGTGATTTAGCTCAAGCCAAAGCTGCAGAAATGAGTGGAGCATCTTGTCGTTTAAGTACTAAAATTGCAGAAATTGAAAGGTTACGTACTGAGTTGAATACTACTGCACAAGAGTTGAAAGGTATGAAAATTTCTTAAAATGACAGATTCTTTCGTTAATAAACGTTTATAATTCAGTTACAGTATTCATAATCATTACTGAATACCTTAAACGATGGTCTGTTACTCTTGTCTTCGCTTAAGTTTGGATGTACGCGCGTAAATCAATTGTTTTAGGTTCGATTCACACCTGTACGTCCATGAATCGTCATGATTATTTCTTATGAATTATCTCTTCAGTATTTCTAGGCTTTCGGTGAAGCTCTGTATATGATCATTTAGTGATTCACATTGTGTAAACTTAACAAACCAACGCCATATAGTGACTTTTTGATAAGAAATAAGCTTTACTGTTTCGTTTCACAGTTTAGTATCTGAAATCACATTTCTTAAATGTCAATTTACCTGAAAAAATATTTATACCACAATAATAAGAATGTTTGTGTTATTGATACTACTTACATAGGAATCAGTAGCTTAAACCTATTGACTAAATAGTATGATAAGCTATCTGGTGTGTAAAATATTAGTGTCTTAATACGGGTTTCTAGATTCTCCTAATACTTATTTTACAGTATGTTCGGTTTATTTTATACTCATGTACAGCACTCCACTAACTAAATCTTCGTTACGGTGCCACTATTTTTGCTGGAAAACAAAATATTTTGACCACAACTTGTCCTCTACAGTCTGGGAGACATCAGCTTGCGAATAGTTCATTCAAAAATATTTAATAAGGAAGAATTTTCCACGTTTTTATAATCGATTCTAATTTGGAGTCATACCATAGTGTAAAATACATATCATACAATCTCCATAAACCTTCTATGCTAACACTAATGATATGCACAGTTTATCTAACTTCAACAGGATATTCTCAAAGTTCTAGTGAGATGTGACCAATGGTATTCAACTATACTTAGTGTGGTATGTATGTCGCTATGGACAATGGATGATGGTTGAGAGATTTTGAAGACCTACTAAATTTGGAAGCATCAGGTACCAAGAGTAGCCAATTCAGTGATCTTAAGTCTAAGTGCCCACCTAAAGACCTGATGGTCTTGAGTTTTGTCCTCCGTGAGGGCTGTGTCCAGTGCCACTTTAGTTGTCAATTTTTGTATAGTTGAGTTCATTTTATGATTTCTTAACTACAAATCGAACAATCCAGGCAATGGTAGTAAACTTAAAGTGATCTGTAAATTTAATTTGACTGTGTACATACAGAGGATCCAGTTATCTTTCAATAAAATAGCCTACAAGACAGTTCGTAGGAAACAGACTAACTTGTGTCAAGTGTCAATCAGAATCTATGATAAAGGATTGACAGCTATATGTAAGAAGTGCATTGACATACTGTCTATAAAGTTAGTATTTCGTATTCACTTTTAGGGTATTTACAAAAATTTTTGTTTCACTAACTAATAAGAGATGCTTCCTGGAGTTCCAGTGCGAAGCAGTGAGAAGTGGAGTTCAACCACGTCTGTAGTTAGATATCACCTCAATGAAGACAAGTGGTGAACGGTTGCTCAACATCGTGGATTGGTTGAAGTTAGACATCAACATCGTTGGATGCCGGCCAACTTAGTGGTCTAGAGGTCAGGCGCTTGAGCGCGAGGCTGATAGGTTCTGGGTTTGAATCTCGTGAGGCGGGATCGTGGATGCGCACTGCTGAGGAGTCCCATAATAGAACTAAACGACCGTTTAGTGCTTCCATGTTTCCCATGGTGGTCTATCTTCAATGGACTAATGATTTCAACTATGAAAATACTGAAATCTCCACAAAACCCTTTCTGATTATAATAATTAATGTATTTTCTTATCTTAACATTCTATCAAGATACTAAAGTAAGTCGTGACGAACTCAAAAGAATCGTGGATCAAAATGAAGATACTATGAAACATCTTGGTAATGAAGTACTTCAATTACGTAATGCTATCATTGAAAAAGATAAAATGTTAACTGAATTACATGCTTATTTAAAAGAATCAAGACAAAATACAGAAAATATCAAGTTACAATGTGAAAATGCTGAATCAAAACGAATAGATATTGAAAAACGATATGAAGAATTAAAGGACAGGTATGTTCAGTTATGAATTTTAGTATACATTGACTAATTTCTTTCTTTTTGCAAACTCTGAGGGTACTATTATTTTATTTTATTTAGATACATAAATATTGGTACAAACGGGCAACAGATACATATGCTCCACACACATCTCATTTGATTTGTGTGAGGACCGTGATACTGCCCGGCTGCCCAGACCAACGTAAGTAGTCTCCTTAGGGGGCCACATCCGGAGCCTTTAACCTAAAGATCTGATCCACAAGGCAGTGGGGCATCGTAAGGAGATGTATTTTCATGATAGCCACTGACCAACGATTAATTCATACACCATTTGTTCCCTCAGGATACTGGAACCTATGTGCACCAGTGGTTTGAAATCAGGGTTTTTCAACTCCCCTATGTGGACTTTCCATGTCCACCAATCCGGTTAAAGCGTCGGACATTCGCTTTTCGTCCTTTCAATTTCGTAAACAACACCCCCGCCACGAGAAGGCAATGACTAAGACTTTTGTGGCAGAGGCTATATACATGTGGTCATGCGAGAGTATTTCGAGAAAGAGATCGAACTCTCCCCACTCTTGGCCGTACCAGGGCATTTGGAGGCGAGGGTACTATTAACCCTTACATTAATAACTGTAGCTTAAAGCCAATTATATGATTATGGTTACAATGGTTACAATGATTACAATAGAATAAACAATCACTATTGAATTTGTTTACTAACTGTTTAACATGTGATTCTTACAATATGCTTTATAGAGTTTTTAATTCTACTAGGTTTTTGTTATGTCTTGTGGTCTGGATGCCCTGTTCTTTGATCGGACCAATGATGCATAAAAGCCGTGTAAGCAGTCTAAAGTACCTATCGATCCTGCTTTCTGCCTAGTCCAGCCAGTTATGTCCAGAACACCAATCTCAGCCTCTGCAATATGAATCATTTATTTCAAACATACTGGGTTTATATGCCAACCAGATAGACCATATCGTATCATAAAACAGGAAAAACAACATTTGTACACAATTTAGCCAAATGTGGCTGTGAATATGAGAGACAGTAACTGATAGACTTGGGATAATGCAGAAATGGTAAATCATACAGTAATAGTCTATGGGTCAAAATAAAGGTCATAATAAGAAGAACATGAATATGAATAGTTGAGTTACTTAACAACTATTCAATAGGAAATATACATATCATATTGATCCATAAATAGTTCTCAAAAGTTACCATCCATACTTCTCTTTGGGATATAACAACTCACCTATTTTCCTGAAGATTCTGTTTTAGTATCCAGAGTGAATTTTCCGACTTTAGTTTCCTAACAGATTTTCTGGATTTGACGTCATTTATGTTGACAAACGGTAAAAAAAGGTCTAAATTTATGATTATATCTTTGTAAATAAGGTAAATAGTTATAGACTAAGCACAATTATAAATTGGTTTGAATATCTTTCATCAATATTGTGGAATTATTTGTTTACCGAAAAAAATGTCAAAGTTTCAGAAATTTAATCAATAATGTGGTGTGTTCTACTGATGTAGACAGATATAAGTAGTATGTGTCATTAATCGAAAGTGAAATATCTGGTGGCCAGAAGTGAAGAAGATAGAAGAAAAGAGAACGTGAACGAAGAGTGACCGATTGAAATGGGCACTAATCAATATTTTAATGAAAATTTATTCATTCAAAGAATTTTTCTAAGTTTAAATTCAAGTTATACATACTACTGATTTGTTCTGTATTCAAGAATTCAACACTAATTCAGTATTTCTTGTATTTCTAGTGTAAAAAGTTTACATGGTGTTGTTTACTGGTATCTTCTCATTGTTATTTAGGACTGCAATTGATCAGTCTTCTTTAGCATATATGTATCTTGGGTAGATTGCCTCCGTATTGCCTTAATTCATAAGCTATATAAGCAAAGATGAATCAATTGTAGTCCTAAACAACAATGAGAAGATACAAGCAAACAATACCAGGTAAACTAAAAACTCTACCCTGTTACACAAGTAAGTGCCTATCAATACTCAGTAGCTAAGTGGATAACGTGATGGCGTTTGAAACGAATGGAACTTGGTTCGAGTCCCAGAGTGAACATCAACTCTGAGATGCAAGTAAATCCAGATGACGAGTCCCAAATAGGACGAAACGTGCGTCAAACTGGATTCCACAGCTAATCACCATTCAGCTTTGTTTATAATCATTTTTAAGATTTACTTTATTCATAATTGAATGTACCACATTTTTTTAAAGTCACATGTTATTTTTAACGAAACAGATTTACAAATAAAGAACAAGAATTGAAAAATCTACGTAAACGTATGGAAGAAGCCGTTTCACCGGGTACTATTCCTACTAATAATAATAATAATAATAATAATCGTGATTCAATTCAAGTAGATAATAATAATCTAACCAATCGTGAATTAATGTTAAATCGTCGTGGATTTGAAGTGGATAAATTAAGAAGAGAATTATCAATAACTAAACGAGAAAAAGATGATTTATATATTGAATTAAAAAAATTACGTTGTAAATTAGATAAAAGGCATACATCAGAAGAAAGAAGTAGAAAGGTAATCTTATTGATTATGTTCCCTTTCTTTCTCACCTCCCCCACCCTCACTTTTTTAAAACAAAGTTCCATATTCTTCAGATTTATGTAGTTGAAATCATGAGTCAAATGAAAGCTAGACTACCATGAAAGATATGGGAGCACTGGACGGCCGTTTCGTCCTATTGTAGGACCCCTCATCAATGAGTATCCAATGTCACAATAAACCCTCTCTGAATAAAAACTAAATTAGTTTGACTTATCAGGTTAAAATGAAAGGGTAAATTTAAACTTTAAATTCACTTGATTTAGGCCAATTACAGTATTGACTCTGTATCACTGCTGAGAAGTCCCACAATAGAAAGAAACAGCAGTCCAGTGCTTCCAGGTTTTCCATGATGGTATAGCTTCAATTGACTCATGATTTTAACTATATAACCATTATTTGTTTGCTAATCTGTTGGATAGATTACTGTGAATTGAAGTAGTATTTAAAACATCAAGTCTTAAACATGATAATAACTACGAATCATTAATCGAGTAGTATAAAGAACCACATTGATTAGAAATTGGTTATTGGTAATTCTTTACATGTAGAAGCAATATCACTCTATTTCAAATCCAAAAGAACTCATTAATTCTGATTTGTGGTAGTGAGAGTCAAATTTGATTGCCTATTGAGAGTAGAAAAACAAGAGCTCAATTAACTGACTAATAAATGTATAGTTTCTCTGCGTCAGATTGCTTGTAATAACATGTTGTCTAACGTCACTTTGGTCCTCTATTCTTGATCATGAATTGTGTAAGTGATATAACGTGATCTAACCTCTGTATTGTGTACGGTTCAAGCATCCAAATATTTCGATCACCCAGACCAGTCTCTTATCAACATACATACTACATACTACCGAGAGAGAGAGGGACATATTTTTAACCATCTATAGTGTCAAGTTCCATGGGGACTTCAAATATCCAAACTTAAAATGGTCGCGTTCCAAAGGCCACACTGTAGTTATGACCAATGTTTTCATGAATATATCGATATTATTATTTTAACTTCAAAACACTGAGTTGATGTTAAATTTCGTCAGGTGGTGAAGATTCTGATCATTTCATTGCTCAACAGAAGGCACTGTTGGATTATATGACAATTATAATATTTCTAATTTTAGTATATTTCATATATGATATTGAACGAGAATAGTTTTTAACACAGATTGAGTGAAGTATATCACATCCTGGTACTAAGTAAGATCTATGAAACTTGTTGTTGTGATAATCAATAGATCCTCATCAAGATTTTGAAAGTTTCAGTTGAAATGTATTGATCCTTGTTTCATAAGAACATACTAATAGATTAAGCAAAGGTGGATAGTGGCTAGCAGTGGAATCCAGTTTGACACCCGTTTCATTCTATTCGGGACTCGTAAGCTGGATGTACTTGCATCTCAGAGTTGATGTTCATTCCGGGACTCAAACATACAATAATAAGTGAATACTACTCGATTATTCAAAAAAATCTTTTAAGTAATATTCTTTGCAAATCTTTAAAACAATAAAACTTCACCGGCGGAAATAACTCACACAAAATGGATATCTACTCAATTATCGGTTATTGTAGAGCGAAACCCAAGATGTATCAGACTAACGATAAAGTGACTTTGAGATCAAGATTTCCATATCATAATAAAACAATCAGATAAATTTGTAATTCAATGATATAATTCATGAGTCTATTAAAGCTAGACAACCATGGAAAACCTAGAAGCACTGGATGGCCATTTCATCCCAGTATTGAACTCCTTAGCAGTGAGCACCTATGATCCACCACTCGGGACTCGAACCCGGGACCTTCGGTCTCACATGAGAATGCTTAACATGTAGATCACTGAGATGTCTAACTTCAACTAATCCACGAATAAATTTATATAATCATTATCTAAACTCTTTATTAACATTTTAAATGATCATTTACATACTGAAATACAATGATTATTGACTTAATTGGGTTTTCTTTTCTTTCTAAAGGATATAACTGGTTATCTTCCTAATTTCAATATGGGTAATACATATGCAAAAGCAATTGCAGCACAACAACCTAATATCAAAATAACTTTACTTAATGAACATATTAGTCTATTAAATCGTACTAATATTGAATTAAAAATACAAAATGAATCATTACATAATAATGTTATTGATTATCAACGACGTTATCGTAGTATTAAAGAACAATATGAAGGTGAACAAGAAGCATGGATTACAGAGAGGCTTGTTTTAGAATCGAAAGCAAAAGAGGTAAATCAGTGTTACCATTTTTTTTTTTAAAAAAAAACATTTTTTTAATGATTTACATATAGTATTGTGGTGTGGTCTACTTATATCCATATAAGTAGTATATGGTGATGGTCAGACATTGAATGTATTTTGGTGGAAGATCGATAAGGAAAGAACAGAAATGAAGCGCAATCGGTATGTAAATAAATGAACATGGAAATCAGAGAAGATGAACTGATATTTTCAAAAGGAACGGTTAAGATTGAGACGGTTGATTGTTATTTTGCGAATTAACCGTTGACTGGTTATCAGAATTTAGTGAGATAGTCTGTGATTTGTGCTTAGTTACATTCGATTGTCCCCAACCATTTTCTCATTCACTACAGAATCTTAACATACTAATCGTGTAAGATTTCACAATTGCTTGACTATCGATTAGTAGCTTATGTCATGTATGTCTAGTCCGTTTCGATGCTGATCAAATTCTGTCAATCAGGTTATAATATGGTCCTCTGTCTGAGTGACTCAAATACGAATGGACTATGTTGAGATGTTAGACGGTATAAGGCATTCTTCGGGAAGTCCTTATTCTAGACTTTGCCTTATTTGGAAATCGTCAGCAACGTATCCCTTTTTTCTTAAGGGAACTGATGCGCTGTGGTGAATTCGATCCCATGGTCAGGAATTTTACAGGGAAAGGTATTATTATCATGATTGACCACCACCAAGTCTAAACATTTCCCTCAAGATTACATGTACGCTTTGCCAACAAATACCAAATAACATGAAACATAAGTCAAATAAATTTTGTGTTTTCTTGTTATCGATATCTAGGACTTTATTAGATGAGCTTTTGTTTATATATATATAAATCCAGAGTTAATGTGGTTACAGATTGTTGGTATGATTCTGGATTATAATAACAATGCAGTGAAGAATATGCATTTCATCTTATTTGGGACTCAGGTGGATGTAGATACATTCAACACTCAAACTCAGTATCTATCCCTTGGAGCTCAGTGTATTCTGAGTCTTCAAAGATTCCCTAATTTATTCAATATGTATGAATATGTTTTTAATGGTATGTATTGTCCGATTATTGATTTCCTGGGGTGAATTTGAAGATTAACGCACAATTGTTTACATTACGAAATGATAACATTCTTAGGAGATTGTTTAAACCAGAGATCACTGGACATCTGAGTAGACTTACTTATATACTAATCAACATTACTGAACTGGGTGACCATACAAAACCAAAGTCAAAGCACTTTAGTTATTTAGGAGGTATAAAACATTCAGATCACTAATATTGTAAACCAATGGTTTATATTTCCAGTTCATGACACTACTTGACACTCATTAGATCTTGTTGCTGATAAATATTTCAGTCTTAACACATTTGAAATTCCCTATCGGTTATAACTTATTCAAACTTAGACACTTCTTTTAGAACTTATTTAAGAATTAAAATATGAAGACCATTATGATAGGTACTTTCAGGTTAATTTTCATTACAGTTTAGAATCAACTGAAGAGCAACTAAATATCAATTAACGTTGGACGACTGTTTTCATATTTAAACACCACCTCATAAACGATGTACATTTCCTTTATGCTCTGTTGTTCGGTTCAGTTACGTTATATACTTCCATTATCCAAAATGTGAAAGTAAAATAAATAGGATGGCACAATTACGAATACCACATCATTATGTACCCAAATCATCGATACATATACATACCCATTCATCAGATCGATACATTCTCTCATCTACCATTTGATGGTGAGATGAAACGTAAGCGCCGGCATGTGATATATCGTTTGAAAGCTCTTTCATGTTGTCTTCACCTCTGTTGTAACTTTTCCCTTGTGCATATATTTATAGCAAGAAGATCGTCGAACAACAATTATGAATACACGAAAATTACTTCAAGATACAAGTGTGAAATTATTCGACTTGGAAAAGGAAAGTGAAAAGAAATTATTGAATTTACAAACTGCATATGAAAAATTAGAAAAAGAGAAACAAGCCATTGAAGTAAGTATAGAATCAATTAAGGTTATTGATATAAGGATTGTAGTGGAGATAGTTCAATTGTATTAAGATCGTGAACTTTTACTAACTTAAACAATCATTGAAAACCTGAAAACACTTTACAGAAGATTGATTGAAGTTAGGCTTATACACAACTGGCTGTTGGCTCAAAACTCTAGCAAGATGCCCACTAGTACTGAGGATTCCGTATTCAATGCTTCCACATTATCATTGATCGTTCAAATTATATTGGTTCGTCATCTTAGTATACCGTCACCGGATTTTTTTTCAGAATAGTCAGCGTTACATTATTACGATATATGACTGAGATTATCAGCAACATTTTCAGTGTTTTTATTGTACATACTGTATTAATCACTTCCGACCATTTTTCCGTTTATTTGTCAGGGAACTCCTGGATACTGAAGACATGGTTTAACTTAAGATTATATTTTAAATGTATAAGCTTGAATCGCTATAATTGAAGTTTAGAGTCGAAATTCAGCCTTAGAATCCATAGTTGGGTTCTACTACACTATAACTTATAATCCTAACCTTAAACATTACTCATAACCTTAATCTTCAGTCTAACTCTAAACCTTACATCTGATCTTAAGCGTTAATTCTTACTCGGTGATGTCCTTAATCTTAACCCTAACAAACAGTACACGGAAATATCACTTACATTGTATTCCTCTAAATTGATTCACCATCATTCCATTTCTGAATTCTCAAGTGAATGTAACTTTTTCTTGGTGTCAGATTGGTTTCTTAGTATACGTTCAGCTTAGATCCCAGTAGTGTACATTTTCAATGTTCCTATTCATTTCAATATTGAATGATTGTATTATATTCTATAGAGTTGAGATCATGAGTCAATTGAAGCTAGACCACCATGGAAAACCTGGAAGTACTGGACGGCCGTTTCGTCTCATTACGGGACTCGTCAGCAGTGCGCGTTCACGATCCCGCCTTGCAAGATTTGAATCCAGGACCTACCAGTCTCACGCCTGGTTTTGAATCTCGCGAGGCGGGATCGTGGATGCGCACTGCTGAGGAGTCCCATAATAGGACGAAACGGCCGTCCAGTGCTTCCAGGTTTTCCATAGTAGTCTAGCTTCAATTGACTCATGATCTTAACTCTATAAAATTACCAAAATCTCCACAAAACCCCTTTCTGATTGCATTATATATTAATTTCTTTTTATTATTCAGTTGAAACTGGCTCAATTAGAAGATACACAAAAATTACCTAAAGTATTACAACGTTTCAGTGCTAGTTCTAGCAATAGTACTAGTAGTAGTACACGTCCAAGTTTATTAACTTCACAAGCACGTACAGCACAATTAGAAAATCAAGAGATGATTTTAAAATTACAAAATGCTGAAAGAATAATTAGCAAATTACGTAATGAATTAATAGAAATTAAAGAATTACATGCAACACAAAGTATTACAGCTGTACAAGAAGCTGAAGAAGCAAGATTAACAATGGAAAAAGAATTGGAAGATATTAAAGATCGATTAATAACGGTAAATGTATAATGATTTCTTTTTGATCTTGATAATGTTGTCTAGAAGGTATATGTAACCTTCATTAGTCAACTGTTTAAATCAGAGAATATTTTGATAGAGTTTTGTTCTTTGAACTGGATGGTTTGGTCGTAGAGCTTTCATCGTCCTTCTGAACGACATCATCAACACAAACTTTGAGTAGAAGTGAAGTGTTTGAATTTCTCCATATGTGATTCACAGCTTGTCTTGTGCACCTCGATGTTGATTGGTTCTTGTTGACCTTAAATCTGTCATTGTTTATTTCTTTGTTTTGGTTGTATCTACCATTGGTTTGATTTTTGTTCCCATGTTTCTCCACCATCTCAAAACCAGAGGATAGCACAGACAATTACAATACTGAGAGAGCATAATATGAACTTTATTTTTACTCATATTTATTTATTTAAACACATAAATACTGGTACAAAGTGGCACCAGGTACATACGCACCACACAAATCTCATTTGATTTGTGTGAGGGCTGTGATACTACCCAGGTACCCAAACAGAAGCACGTGATTTTCTTAGGGGGCCACACCCAGAGCCTTTGACTTAAAGATCTGATCCACAACGCAGTGGAGCATCGTGAGGAGATGTAGTCCCATGGTAGCCGGTGACTAACGATTGATTTATACGCCATTTGTTCCCTCAGGATCCTAGGGCCCATATTCACCAATGGTTTGGAACGAGAGTTTTCCAACTCCCCTAAGTGGACTTTCCGTGTCCATCAACCCGGTTAAAGTGCCAGACATTCGCTTTTCGTCCTCTCAATTTCGTAAACAACAGTAGTGCCACGAGAAGGCAGTGAGTAGGACTTCCTTGACAGAGGCTATATATGCGTGGCTATATGAGAGTATTTCGAGAGGGAGAGCGGACTCTCCCCACTCTCGGACGTACCAGGGCATTTGGGGGTTTCTTTAGGTTACTGAATTAGAAATTCTTGAGTGTTGTGAATCTTATTCATTAAAAGAATATGAGTCTGAATTGACCAGTTAGTGATTCAGTAATAATCAACAAAAGTTCTGACACTAATTCTGGATGTTAGGTCAGCATGAGAAGATGAAATTAACAAGTTTAACAGCAAGGAAATCGAAATTACAATGATGGCAAGAAAGAGTAAAACATGAGAAATGTGGCTTCAAAATACAGAAGTAAAAGCTTATGTATGAGGTAAAAACGCATCTTATGATCTAGAGGTAGGTCTAAAATAAATGAATCTTTTTCTATTGCAAACGATACGAGACCCTTTCACCCTATGTATTTATCCATTGATCTTGATTATCATATTGACACCAAACAGGTAGTTTGGATCTACCAACATGTCTCAGACCAACAATCAGTGACTTCTTGTCCTGAGACCATGTGTTGTTTCAGCCTTCTTTAATCTTCTTCTAACCTTCTTCTTCACCATTTAACATGGCATGATGCGGTAGGCTGTGATTAACCATACGTATCATGTGAATAAGAGATACTAATGTGTGAATATACTGAATTAAAATAGCTACATTATTCAACGGTTTCCTTTACACAACGTCAGTTTGTGATAAAAAAGGATATTCACCTTCAAAATAATAAACCATTTCATTTATTAGCGATCATTTTAACAACTATTATGCACAGGACCCCAGAACAGGGTTGGATGGAGAATCCTAGTGTGCGGCCTATACTTCTCCACAAGGGGTAACAGGCGTAAGTGAATACGTATGCCCAGGACGTTCAATATTTTAATTGTATACTTTGTTTCATTTTTGTTCGGTACAGATGGAATGTTATAGACAACAAGTGGAATTATTTAGACATCGTCATTTTGAATTAGAAGAGGCTGCAGAAAAAGAATATAAAATATGGCAAGATGAAAGAGATCAATTAATTTATCAAGCAGAAGAAGCACGTGTTATGATTGATCAATGGAGTACACAAATCAAATGTAAAGTAAGCTTCATACTGTATAATAATCATGATAAAGAAGTCATCCATACACTCAGTGTCTGAATGGATAACGCGATAGCATTTGAAGCGAATAGTACTGGGATCAAGTACCAGAAAACACTCCAACTGTGAGATGTAGGTAAATCCATCTGACGAGTCCTAATTAGGATGAAACGCGTGTCAAACTGGATTACACTGCTAGCCACTATCTATGTTCTCGTATAATAACTGTGAATTAAGGCTATATCGAGGCAATACGCACAGTATGTACATATGCCAATAATAGACTGACCGGTTGCAGTCCTATACATATTATTAATATCTTTCAATAACTTCTTATCTGTAGTTTATTGAATTTCAATATGTAAGAAGTCAAATTTTCGTTTCACTTCATGTTCCATAAAAAGTTCCATTTCGTGGTGCTCATTATTGAGCAGATTAAGTAGATATGTAGAGTTTTTTCAAGCTGTTGCTGAGGATGAGTGTATCATCATCATCATAATTACAGTAGAATATTGTTTCATCAGTCGGATGGTTTTTACTTAGTTTGCTAAAAGTCCCTCATAAATATATCAACTGGAGTCGGGCTTATTTGGTGACCTCATTGATTTGTTGACACATTAAGTAATTGAACTGAAATTGCATACCTTCAATAAACATTGGGAGAAGCTGTTTAGATTCTTTACTGAGTATAGGTGGGAGAAGGTCAGGATACTGAAATGCAATTTCAACAGTCTCTTTCAAGGTATTTTCCCCAGTGTAGGGTTTTATGGAGATCATAGAATTTTCAAGGTTTTTAAACTACAAACTGATCATAGTTAGATTCTCATTGAAAACTTGAAAGCACCAGACTGCTATTTTGTCCTGGTATAAGACTGCTCATTAGTGACCACCAACGACCCCTCACCAGGAATTAAACTCAAGAATTTTAGTTTTGCGTGCGAACGCATAACCTCTAGAACATTGAGCCGGTATCCAATGGTGCTATTGTCTAACTTCAATCAATTAATCATATCGCGTAAACATTATTTGTTAGTTAGTGATTCGTTTCAAGAGTTTTATTGAAAAACTATAACTTGTGGATTTCAACCACATCAGATGTGAGAAAGGTATCTATTGAAGGTACCAAAAGACGATTATATAGTGTCATGAATTAATTGAGATTTTACACTCATATCACTGAATGCCAGCACAGTAGTCTGGAGTTTAAACGTTTACATGGACGCTAAGCCGTCGATGCTCTCTAGTGCTTCCAAGTTTCCCATGATAATCTAACTAAGATCAGTTTATGATCTGAAATACATACTTCACTTTTCTAAATCTCAATTATCAATTTTTTTCATAAATTTTTTTCTCAGGCTAATAGTGAAGATAATAAAACTGAAGACATTATGAATGAAATTTTAAAATCTATGGAAAAATGGTCTAGTGAACATGAAAGATTACCACACTTGAAACGTCGGTATGTTCATCAAAATATTAATTTTCTTTTTAAAGAAAAATAAATATGATCAATATCAGGACTTTTTCTTGTTCTTAAAACAATCATGTTAGTTAAAACATTGACTGTAAGTAAGATTAAACATGTTGAGTCTTTAGATATTATATATAGTCGCGATCATGAGTCAATTGAAGCTAGACCACCATGGAAAACCTGGAAGTACTGGACGCCTGTTTCGTCTTATTATGAGACTCCTCAGCAGTGCGCATCCATGATCCCGCATCGAGAAATTCGAACCAAGGACCTACCAGTCTCGCGCAGGAGCACTTGACCGATGAATGCTGACTCAGTGGTCTATCGATCAAATGCTCCGGCGCGAGACTGGTAGGTCTTTGGTTCGAATCTCGCGATGCGGGATCATGGATGCGCACTGCTGAGGAGTCTCATAATAAGACGAAACAGGCGTCCAGTACTTCCAGGTTTTCCATGGTGGTCTAGCTTCAATTGGTTCATGATTTCAACTATAAAATTCTGTTATTGTTTGAGATTTCACAATCATAACTTCACACATTATTAAACATCATTCTATCATGTATCATATATGACATTGGTTATTGATCACATTCAATTATAGATTAATTTATTACAATTTTCAATCTAGTGGTGTTTATGTAAGCGTAGACGGAGTGAGTGATTGCTTTATCCTATGTAATACTTTTCATAGTTAGTTCAATTAATTGTGTAGATGACAGTTTGTCGTTTTGTTGTCTGGACTGGATAATATTGTTTCTGGGTTAGTCAGCTACACTCATTCTTAGAGTCTTCAATAATCTGTCAGTGATCTTGGAAATATTTCTCATATAGGGTGGAATTATTGATTTAATGATGTTTATTGTTGGTTTCTTGTGTAGCGATCAGTTTTGACACAATAATTTATGAACCATAACATAATGAATTATTTATTATTGTAAGGCTTAGGAGTAAGGGATTATAATTAGAGTTTGGAATTATTGGTAAGAGTTATGGTTGGAATAACAGTGAGCGGTTGCTTTATATCCATAACGATGAGTATTTATTGAAGTAAGTCTTTGGATTCAAATCTAAAGAACATCTACTTCATTTTGAAATTTGGTTCCTATTATTTTCCCTTGAAAGAACTAATCACTACCTCATTTTGGGGGATGTTAGATACCCAGAACTCACTTGGTAAATGTCTTATTTTTGTAATTTTATTTTGGAAATTTGAGTTTCTTGTTTTCTCGCAAAAAGGTGCTCATTTTCAACTTCATACCATATTTCTCACTTGGGAGTACCTTAAATGTCATTGGTTCGTTGTCTCTTTTAATATGTTGTTTTGTAACGTTTCACAAGGTCATTTTTATGCTGCATATATACACTTGATGTAACATGATATGATATGCTTGATGTGCTTGTGGAATACATTTACCTCTTCTGAACATGAACTTCTTTCTCTAGTTAGTGGGACTGGGGCGCATCGGAATAGTTATCTTACTTGTTCACTGTGTCATTGATTCTTTGTTCCGTTCGCAGATTCGGTGAACTCGTAATCTCTTCAAATCATTTTAAAAATCACTAATGTTCGGCTTATTATTCATTGTCATAATGTTTATCTAGTTTAAGTGTCAGACTAACTAAATATTAATAAGTTTTAAGAGGGTTCCTACACAACTCACAATAAAGCATAAGCTTTGATCAATGCGTGTTGACTTAAATCTGAGTGGTTAGTTAGTTTAGTTTACTTTGGTCAATTCAATTTTCTTTTTGCTACTTTCCAAACGTAATATGAGTTTGTATGTACGTTTTTCACAATCTACACACACCTATAGTATGCTTGATTCTGTATCGTCTATTGAAAGTACCTCTGGTATTGGTCTAAGTTCCGGTGCAACAAACAGTCCAATGATACCACAATCATTAAAAAATAGTTTAATGATCAATTCAACAATTTCACCATTCTCTCCAAGTTTATTACCAAAAGGATCAACACTAACAAATCAAAGATCTACCTCAATGGAATGGACAAGTGGTCGATTTCATGGACATTCTATAGGATCCTCTAGTGGTCATCCATTTGGATTAAATTTCAAAGAGATTAATTATGGATTAGGCACAAACAGTGGTACATCGTTATTAAGTGGTTTTCGTGGCAGTGCATTAAGTCTTGCAACAAGCGCCGGATTAGGTGGTGGGAGCAATTACAGTTTAATGGTTAATAGTCGTTGTGGCAGATCAGTTTCGCCTGAAGTTACTGTGAAAAAGGTAAAAGCATTTAGTAACCGTTTTTCTGATATCTGAAATAGATTTCATATTTTCAATCTTTGGTGGTGTCATCTTTTACTATGAGTTATTAATTAATTCAGTTTTTTTAATATTTTTATTACTACGGCGGATTTTTGGAGTATTCATCTACGATCATACTGGAGATTGAACTTGGGATCTCCATGTCATGTGGTAATGGCTTAACGTCCAAATCAGACACGTAGACACGTAGACCACTGAATGCCAGGTGATCGGTCTGAACACTCGCCGCATGACTTTTAAGTCAACCGTTGTTAGGGTTGTGGCTGTCGGAAGTCCTACATTATGATGAGACAGTAATCCAGTTCATCCTGATTTTTCGCTTTAATCATAATGATTCACTGAATTCCTATCTTAAGAACTAAATCGGATGTTTATAGTTAGCTGGTCATTGAAAAATGAATAATGTCAGTTAAGTACTTTTTACTACTGATCAAATTTTGTCAGAGAAGTTTCAAAGGATCCACTAGTCTAAGTGACTTGACATCATATACAGTATGTTGACATCATAATTGGTCGTAGGTAGTCGACAGAAAACTCTATTTTAAATCGGTCTCGTATTATCTGACACATTTTAACAACGTGTGACTATCATCTTGTAGAGATTAAAGCCCCTTGCTGAGTCTCAATCCATTTCTTCTTGAGTTACATTCTGAGACTGGCAAATGTTACATTGGTCACCCGTCAATGATTGATCTCACTCCTACAGGATATCAATTTTGATACGAAGGGCTAAGGGGTAGAGTCTATGACTGTTAATCAGGATGAAGTGCATTCAAATCCTTCGGGGGGCATCTATTTCCTCAGGATGATATGCATGTTTCATAGATAAGTGAAGATTGAAGTATTTTCACAGTTAAAGTCACAGGTTGATCTAAGCTAGATTACCATCAAGATCCTGGAAGCAGTGAACAGCCGTTTCTTCCTGATACGGTAGGTTAAGCGTTCTCGAGCGAAACCGAAGCTCTTGGGTTCGAGTCTAGATTCCGGGATCTTCGATGCGCCCTGGGGAGAAGTCTCATGCTAGGACAAATCGGCCGTCCAGTGCTTCCAGGATTTTAATGGTAATCTAGCTTGGATCGACTCGTGATTTTAACTTTTAAGAATTTCTCTGATGTTTGTCCGATGTTTCACCGAAAGCCTGCTGTTGATTAGTTTTTCGAACTTGTAATCGATTTCCACTATGAGCAAAGCAAACAGCCACATGAGAGTCTTTAGTGTTGAATCTTTAGAGGGGAGGGTTAAAGACTATCTTTTTCCTAAATAATAGTTAATAAACTTGGTCGATGTATTATAAGGTAAATATAGTCAGTTAGGAAAAGAATGTAAAACTTACAATGATGGATAGTATACCAAAAATAATTAATAGGGGATAATATTTTGAGTAAGAGTTTCATCGATATCACTGCTATATTCATCAGTTAGAATTCTGATTATTATTTTTTTTACTTTTCTTATTCCATTCCCTCAATACCCTATCGTCCTAAGCTCTGACCAATGATGTGTCCCAACCAACATGACTAACTTTCAAATGAGACCCAAGTAAACTTAACTTCTATTAGTCTGACGATTCACACTCCTTCTTCCGTCCTCAATAACTCAACTACATCCCTGTAAACAGTATGGTCTAAAAAACATTTTTCCAGTGAAATATTTTATCGTACTCCTCTCCAATCAGTGTTTAGCTACTTAACCCATTGAATTCCATCATACATCTTAAGGTAAAATGGTGGTTGGAGGTGGTCAACAGGAAACCCTGGACCCGGGTTTCTTGCTACTTGGCACTCGTCAGCAAAGTGCACCTGTAATCTTGAGGGAACTGATGCTCCCTGACGGATTCGATCCCGTGTCACTCGGCCTCACAGTCAGAGACGTTACCACCGAGCTATTCGGGCCTCGACCGACCTGCTGTGGGACTGAGATCTAATCACAATTGATTGATCACTGGGTTGTGATCGATGTCATGTGTGTCAAGTCCTTCTTAGTGCTGATCGAATACTATCGATTTATCATACATCTCTTGATGAAATCTCTTCGAACAATTGTTGAACTATGAAAACGTAATCAACTGTTTTAACGCTTATTAATAAATTCTATGTATTTCATTTTAGATCTCAAATTATCCTGATCCAACACTTGGATTTTTAGTTCGTCCAACTTCTAGACAAGGTTCACAAGATAGTTTGGCTAGTATTACTGATTATTCCCAGAGATCATTTACATTACCAGGTATGTGAGAGTAATGATATTGAATTTTTTACACTTATAGGATATTTCTCGACTTTACTTATGGTACACTGAATAGTTATTTCTTCAGGCGATATTAGTTCCAGACGAAAGTTAGCTGTCTTTAAATTGAAGAAATACATTTTCATAAAGGAACATTTAATATTGAACTGATTTGTTACATGTGAATGGTTATGTTTATATCGTTTAATTTAACTAGTCTGGTTAAATATATATCCAACTGAGGGAAATCACTCTAAATGGTTGGTTGGTAGACCCTAATTTTCAGTGGTTCCACTTTGGATAAACCTTCATTTTAAAACGTAAATCTACTAATGAGATAAATGTTTAAGAGACTGAGATTTGAATCCGTAACTTGTTTATGTTTGACTCGAAGGAGACTAATTTGATTAGTAGGTTACATTCGTCATAGATTCATTTCAACTGGACTACTACTGAACATTAGGGAGCACTGACACATTTTCTTTTAGTATGAAGCTTTTTAATAATGGGTACATTATGATCCCATATCATACCATTGGTGATAACTATTTCACTTTCCACATAAATAATCTCAACTAGTCACAACCTTTCATATACTGTCATGAAGCAGCTATCCAATGCTCCCTACTTTTCATTGATATCCCGACTGAGACCTCTCTGTCTCAAGTAAAGTCCTCAAATGAAATTAATATTTGTAAACAGGATTTCTTTAGACTAATGTAAATTAATTAACTCACTCATTGTAAAACCAGTAATCTATCAATATTGAGAAAAAAGGTCGTGCACCCATCATTGACGTTACATTTCCGTTATTTTATTAGATTAGTTTCAAAGAATCCGTTTTCCCATTCATAAATTGATAAAAGACAACTTTTAACTGAGCGTGGGAATAGAATGAAATAACAACTTGATATTTGTTCTAAATCTAAATATTTGTCCTACTGATCTCTACTTCATCACTGAAATGATTGACCTCATATTGTCCGTTCTTTACTATGGACTAAGTTTTAACGAAACAACCTAAGATAGTCACATACGTTTATGCTAATCACATGGAGAAAGTCAGTTTGCTTGAGATTGAAGGCTTTTTTATATAGTAATCACAAAACTTAGTGGAAGCACTGCTGTAATGAATAGAACACGACTGGGGACAATCGAATGTATTTAACCAAACAGTTTCAGTTCTTTCTTCATCGGTCTTTTGCTAAAATACATTCTATATCTGACCAACACCATATACTACTTATGTGGATATAAGTAGACCACACCACACTGCAACCTGATCGATGGATTTCTGTCACTATTCAATATTAGACAAACATAACATTACCTACTAATCAGTGATCTACTAGTTCAAGTACATCAGTTTTACAGGTCAATTAAACCCCTAACAGTTTGGCGACAATGCTTTAGTTTATGGCACCAAGTAGCTAAGTTCCAACCCCACAAGAAAAAACAGTTACCTCGAAATTGTAGATACATTCTACTAAAGAGCACTAGTTAAAATCAAACTTAGGTTTCTTATTTATTATCATCAACCTATTACCATTATAACAACTGTCAATTTATCTCTCAGTAAGCTATATCAATTGTAAATGACCAAATCATGAATTAATGTCCAATTTACAATCACAATTTTTGTAATTACTTCACTCTTATTGGGAATTGACTATGTCTATCAATGGTATGTTTGTAGATAATTTGTAGAGACATGTTCATTGTAAAGACTGGTATTAACTGGCGAAGCACTAACTATACGGTAGTATTGAATAGACATTATTTTTTTAATTGTAATTTAGAATTTCGTTACAGTCCTAAGTTCCTATCCAGATTAAGCAGTATTGTGGTGTGGTCTACTTATATCCACATAAGTAGTATATGGCTATGGTCAGACATAGAATGTATTTTGGCAGAAGACCGGTAAGGAAAGAACTGAATTGAAGAGTAACTGGTAGGAAAATGCACAAACAATGAAATTAGAGAAGATGGACTGATATTTACAGAAGGAACAGTGAAGATTGAGACTATTGGTTTTTATTTTGCAAATTAACTGTTCATTGTATGGTTAACAGAATTTAGTGACATAGTCTCTGATTTGTGTCTAAGTACATTCGATTGTCCACAGTCGTGTTTTTGTTCATTACAGTATGTGAACACGACTGAAAAGTTTTAAAGGGGATTGAAGCATCTGTTCGACATTCATTTATGTACTTATGAAGTGAACAAACAATAATTGGGGACAATCGAACGTATTCTAGGACAACATTACAGAATATCACATTAAAATCTGAAAACCATATAGTGAACAGTTAGTTTGCAAAACAACAATCAGTTGTCTCAATTTGACTATTGCTTTATCAAATATCCGTCCATAGTCTCCGATTATAATTGTTCGTGCATTTTTGTACCGATTACGTGCCACTCCCGTTATCTCCTTATCGATCTTCTACTGAAATACATTCAATACCCGACCATCACCATATATTACTTATGTGGATATCAGTAACCTACACCCATCGCACAATCGAATGGCTATCAGGACTCAGTGGCTGAGTGGATAGCGCGATGGTGTTTGAAGCGAAAGTTACTGGGTTCGAGTCCCAGAGTGAACATCAACTCTGAGATGCAGGTACAGCCGGCTGACGAGTCCCAAATGGGACTAAACGCGCGTTAGACTTGATTTCACTGCTAGCCACTATCCATCTTTGCTTACCACACCACAATGGTTATCAGTTTATGATGACTAATATAACTGAACATACATACATATATCTTTATAATAATTACTTGTTTCCAGGTAAACCACCAATTAGAAGTGTTATCTCACCAGCAAGACGTATGTTCTTTGAAGATAATCGTGAGAATAAGTCTAGTGAAATTGATTTACATCCTATACAACAACAGCATACAAATTATCATAATGAATCAACTAAAGCAAGTCAATTAAGTTTACATAATTCTGAAGAGAGAAATGATATAAATAGTTCATCTCATCCTAATACTACTAATAAACATACTACTAATTTATCACAAAAAATTAATGATAAATCAAAATCATTGGTAAAAACTGATTTAGATATAAGTAGTATATCAAATTATTCACAAATTTCAACTACTACTAATAATAATCATAAACAGAATGATAAAGGTCAATCAAAATTAACGGATAATCTAGATAAAACAATCAATAATGGTACCCATTCCCGTTTATCATTTACTAATCGTTTTACTCGTTGGTCTAATAATTCTAATAATAAACATCTTGAAAAAGCTCATTCAGTTGAACCAAATTCTTTGAATGATTTCAAAAAGGTGAATACATCTGATAATGGTAATAATAGTTCGATTATGAAAACCATTAGTAAATCTAAAGAGAATCTATTTATGAGATCAACTAAAAAAGATAAAACTCATGTAAAATCAAATTCACAAGAAAAATCAATAAAAGGTAATAATCATCAATCGAATGAATCAATATCTACATCAGGAACATCATCAATTACAACAACAACCATGACAACCACGACAACCACCACCACAACAACAACAACATCTTCATCATCAATAAATCATCATGAAAATTCTTCACAATCCATAGTTAAACGATCAAAATCAGTATCTAATATTTCACCAGCAATTATGGCTTTAAGACAGAAATTTTCAGGGGGTGGAAAATCATAAATATCAGTTGAACATTACATCATGAAAATCAAAGATTCCCCTTAGATACATGATTTATATATACATAGAGAGAGAGAGAAAGAGAGAAAGAGAGAGAGAGAGAGACAATATCAATACATGCTAAACATATACTGTTTACATAAGTTTAATCCTATTAAATTTCATTGTGTAAGCTCATTCTTTTCAAAAACATTTAATAATAAAATTTACAGAAAAGAATAAAAAAGCAACAAAAGAACAGATGGATATTGTTTTTCTTTCCTCCCCCCCCCTCTCACCCCAAAAAAAACAAAAAAATTTGAAAGTTTTTTATATCACTTATAGTTCATTCAGGATAGTAATTAGGCAGTTTCAGATATTATTCACCTTTTAAAAAAACAATTCATCAGAAGGGGTTTTGTGAAGAATTCTGTATGTGGCAGTTAACCTCTGAGCTTCTTTCATTCTTTTATTGTATAATAAAGTTTTAGCCACAAAAACATCATCGAATGATAATCCTTTATAAATCAACAACAGTTCATTCGGAGCAAGAGCTTCTAGGGTGCCAGGATCATCTGTATCTGAAGAGTAAGTCATTTTTAATGTGAACAGCTCTAATGGATAAGCAGATGAATAAACAGTCATAACGTTTCTAAACGACTCTCCATTGTTTGGCATAGAATGGTCCGAAATAATCCACACCCATTTAGCTAAAGGGTGGCGAATGTATCTCTCGTCGGTACTCCAGCAACAGCGCCATTATTTGGGAGCATGGCATAGAATAACCTCTTCTACATAAGTAACATCGTTTTTAGAACCTTCCGGGCGTAAAAGTATCCTTTTACGATCCAATACTCTTCACAAATATCATTTAAAGTTTGAGTAACTCCAACGTTATTGTTAATCAAATAATGATGAATTATAATCATATCTGTAACAAATTGATTATTAGGAAGAAGAATAGTAGAATGTTTGGTTTCATAGGGTCAATATTTATTATCGAACTTTGACGAATTAAATTTTTCTGTTGACCATCTCGTTCATTCTTTTCTGACCTTCCTGCTGTCTAGAAGCGTTGTCTCCGAGTGAACTGTCTAAAACTCTTTATAGATCGTAAATAAGGCACTTCGGACTAGCTTAATTATGTCGCTTTTCGGTTTATCAATATCCTCAACACTTGGAGCGCCTAAGATTAAACATTTTCCACTCCTCTATTATAGACAAACCGTCTGCAGTATAAAACACCCTTAATAATCTGGACCATGACTTACACGTACGAAATCGATATAGAAACTTGTCGTTGCATTTTAAGGATCCGAAATCCGTTATTACACGGGCCACAGCGTTCTCGCCCTTTTCTACGTTAGGCCATTTATCTTCTTTCTCTAACAAGAATCCCAGCCCTTTTAACCACTCCCTTATCTTAGCTTTATCATTTAGTGATATTCCACGTTGCACGTGACCCACGAGATTCAATTTACTTTTCACGTATCTCCATTGTTTCGACGTGGACAACTCATGTATAGTTGCTAACCTGTTACTCACATACTTTTCGAATATTTTAATCACATTTTTTATGTAATGAAGCACAATTAACAAATCGTCCAATAGGTGATCGATGAGATGGGAATATTTGACTGTTCCTTTGCATGGTATCCAATCTTAGCACACAGAACACAGGCTGTTAATTCCATTCTAGGCATAGTGACAAGGTTTATAGGAGTAGCTCTAAACTTGGCTAGCAGAAATGAGTAATGAATATGGCCAGAAACACTTTCATAACAAATATACGAAGCAAAACCATACGCAATCTCATAAATATTGGCAAAACAATGAATTTGAGCAAATGATGGTTCAAACCTTGGTTTCAGACACCTTGGTATTCCTAAGCAGTCCGACTCTTTACAGTTCTATTTTAATTAAATATGACGATGAAGCTACACTATACAGCCAGTCTTGTAAGACGCTAAAGTAGACTTTGAAATTTATGTTTCTTATTGAGCAATACGTATGTAGTGAAAAATAAATCACCGAAATCAATGTCTTTGTAAGTCTTCTACGCATTAGTTTTAATGGACTCACTTAGCTGAAGGCACTTGGCCACGCATCCGCACCAGATTACGAAAGGATGCGCTGTGCTTCACATCTCCTGCAACAGCTAACTAGCTGATATTGGTCACTTCTGGGTAGATAGATATTCTATCAAATATATCTGTGTACAATTTCGCTTCTGACTACTGATTTCAGCGGATTGGTACGTTTCGTTTATAAAAGATGCTACTGGTTAAGATGTTGTCAAACTCCGAATACTTGTGCCATCTTTACGTACATAGACTGTTAAGAAATAGTGATGCCAACAAAAACACGTATGGTAATTTTATGTAGCTTATGAAAATCTTTAACGTTTACATCTGGGTTTCTGTTATCCTAAGACGAACTTGTCTTGTTATGCTAACTCAGTGCATGTTTGAGTGATCAACGGACTATAAATAACTTTATAAATCAATTCTTATTGTATTCAACTTAATATTTTACAGAAAAAAGTTCTAAAACTTGGTAACTCTCACTTTCACCACATGTAACAACGAGATTTTTTAACTATAAATCCGGAATCAATGAATTCTATGTACATATAAAGGATCCTCGTATGATATTTGAGAAAGTAAATAGGGAAATCAACTTTCGGTTTGTCATGTAAAACAATTTGAGCAACTGTCTCCTATTCCACAGACAGGTAGAACACTAGAGAAGCGGCACATTTGAATTACATCATGAACAAATCTCGGCAGTTTATTGAAATTTTAATGACAGTGAATCGGGAAAATGGTTCATGTAACAATCTGATAATGTGGTAATTAGAATGATAAGAACTTGATTGAGTAATAAGGAAGGTGAGTTATAAGTAAATTATTGTACAGCTTGTTTTTGCTTGAAACTATAATCTCGGTTTATTTTTGACTTGATAAATTGTGAATTTCACTTGCCTGAGTTTGCATTGTTACAAATAACCAAATTAGGCTGACTAAACATTCACCCAGGTTGTGAGCAACAAATACGTCAGGCAACCAATAGGCTGCGATAAACGCCATGTAACAATCATAAACATTACAAAAATTGACATGTGACGGAAGAATGCTGTGATTAGCTGATAAATAATGACATTACAAATCCGCGATAACATGTGACATGTGAGCGAGAATCAATGACATGACTTTTCGACTCTACCGGTTCCTATAGTAGTATTCACTAAATACCAAGAGCCTTCCAGTTGCTACTTAATAAGAACTGCGAAATTATTAAACAGCTCCATTAAACAAATGTTTTGCGAGTAACTTCCCTGAGCACTTCCGTCAATCATTCCTGATTTGTTAATACCGTCATTTAAAAACTCTGCAGGACATCTACCTGATTTTTAAACGTTTACTGTAAATCTAATTATATCATGTTGATCATGTTTTTAAAATTGGCGTTTACGTGCTTTGTCAAAAATATTTTTTATCACTACTAATTCTCACGTTTGGGTTTTTTTCAAAATCTGAATAGCGTAACAGAACATCTTCATGTATTATGCTTTTAGCTACTTGGTGTTCAATGGTCAAGTCATTAGCACTCAATTCTAAATTTCATTTTTTTAAGTGATTTGGTTTGATCGCAAATAAACTTTAACTCCTGGTGGTTATTCACAGCGTAGACGTTTATGCCAAACACATATTCATATAGTCTCTTAACTGCCCACACCACAGCCTAAAACTCCTATTGCGTTTAAAAATACCTTTGTTCAGTCTTGTTAAATCATCTCAAAATTGACGTTATACGCTCCTCATTTTGTCCGATAACCGAACCTATTTTTAATAGTGATGGATCTGTCCTGAAAAAAGGCTGTCCAGCTGACGAAAATAAGGTAAGGAAACTTTGCTATTTAAAGGCCGTAAACGTTTTCTTAGTCTGCCATGCTGTCGTTGTTCTTATACAAGAACTTCCCTAGAAACTAAGTCGTAAAATAGGGATAATATTCTTATAAAGTTAAAAGCAAACCTGAAATAAAACTAGGGACGACCAATCCATGATCTGTGTACTGCGATATTCATGAGTGGTAGTCCTAGAATCAGTGGGACTGGGAAGCTCGTATCAGGGGGTTTCAAAATCATTTGGAGTCTACAATATAGCCTGGGCAGTTGATAAAATGAAGTTGCATCTGGAACTTGGAATAGTTCGCATGAAGAAAGCCTCAAAAGAACTTCACAGAATGTTCATTATGCAGCTCAATATTTTCAGCATGAACTACATTGTCATCCTTAAACGACCCAACATCATTGGAAGCCGTTACACTCTTATTTATAATTTGAAATATCGCAGATGAAAATGTATTCGGAAAGGTGGAAATATGTATCAGAAGAACCTGAAGGGTGTAATAATAGTAGTTAGTTCTTCCGAAATTTTTTCCAGTGTGATTTATAAATATTTGCTTTTTAGGTCTACTCCGGAAAAAAAATTAGTTTTACCTGTTTTAAATAGTAAATATTTCGTCTCTTTAGAGGAACAACTTTTTACGATGGCCGAGTATCAAGCAACAACAGATGAACACCGCAAACTCTATGGTTTTTCTACTCGCAGCTCAGTTAAACGGAATCATTATCCCCTTTCCAACCTGTTCATCCGATAATTTTTCAAGGCCTCCCTTAAACCGAAAGAAAGTGGTCTACGCTTCAAATAAACAGACTCACACCGTACGATTAGATGTATCAGTTCAATTTTATTACTTTCTGCAGCCTTGCGGCATTGTTGAATCAGATCGACACTTGTCCTAGAATCACAACCACTTGTACTGGTTTGTTGATAATACTAGCTAGAGAATATCCGGATAATGTACTCTTATTAAATAAATCCAGGACTCCACTATCAATGTTTAATTTGCATGGTATTGGAATTATTCGAAACTGTCTGGAGTGTCACTTGGCATGTCTCAAATATCTATTTGTCAACATAATGATGGAATATGATTATGAGATAGATAGACAGGTAGTTATGTAGAGGGACTGTAGTGGAAGTAGAATAAAAAATGTCTCCTGACCACACGATGATTATATCAGAGCAAACAGTTGACGTTGAATATTTGGTGAAAAGCAGTAGGGTTCAATAAAG